CCGCCACCAACGGCGCCGTTTTGAATAGATTCTCCGCCGCCGGATCTGTGGCCGTAGGGGTTTTCGCCGCTGTCTTGGTTATGTAGAGTGGGTTTTTAATTATGAGTATTTTTAGTGAGAGTTTATGGATTTTTATTTATTCATTTATTATTGTACCGATTCAATTTATTTGTTTTTTTTAATGCTTAAATTTAATTAAATGGAGACATTTTATTTAATTATTGTATCCAATTTTGTGGTGTCGAATGACATTTCCAGCTGGAAAGCCTTGAACTTTAGCAAAAGCAGCTGCTGCTAGCTTTGTCACTTGGGTATTGGCAAAAGCAAAGAACGCAAGATTGTGACCAAAAAGAAAAAAAAACAGAGAAATCTTCGTGGTCAAGACTGAACTTTTAGCAAGTAAAAGGAAATTTTGACAATCAAATGGCGGTCACATATATGAATGTTACCGTTCAGCACCTATCATGATACAACCAGATAAAAGAAACCCACTTTCACCCAACTACAAGAAGCAAATGTGCAAATGCCTCGAGGAGAGTATGTTTTGAGTATGGTGTAAATCATGACTGGCCGTGGCCGACCCTAGAACGGCTCCTAAATTTTTTTATGTGTAAAGTCCTCTTCTATTAAGGGTCCTTATCTTGTGAGATTCACTATGAATTTAATTTTAAAGGTCGGAACCATCAAAATTTTAAAGGTACCATTGTGACAAAAAATTAGATGAACACACATTGTTTCAAAGATAATCTTTGAAGGAATATGTAAAAGACGAGTAGTTTGGATGATTGAAATACAATGCAGAATGAACCCGCAAAGATGTTCCTTAAATAAATTTACAGAATTGTGCGCCCAATGGAGTTAGTTTGCAGGTTTCATTCTCACTTATGCACAACAGTAGTTTCTTTACTTCTTTTTCGAAGCAACAAAATTTTCTTCATAAAATGGCCCTAGGGAGTATCAATCTCATGATGAGTTAGCCAACATTAGGCCATCTCCAGCCATAGGCTATATCCTAAATATGACCCTAAAATAATGCAAAACTCATCTCCAGCCATGGGCTAAACAAAATTTTGGCCAAATTTGGAGGGCCACATTTGGCCCTTTAGCCCTCCAACCGGACCACATGTAGCCTAGCTTAGGCCTAAAGCAAATTTTTTGTGGATCCCATGCATGTGCTTTTGAAAAAGATAAATTATCAAGTGTGGGCAAGAGCACGAATCATCTCGTGCAAATGCATATCCAATAGCCAACATTAAAAGCGATGAGGTCATTGATGACGTCAGCTAAATATATATATATATATATATATATTTATTTAAAAGCCTTTTTAAATGTTTTCAATTCATGTTGTTTAAGAAAAATTTATAAAAAATTAATGGTCATGACTGTTGGAGGTCAGACCATTGAAACCCATCCGTTTTTTTTCTTTTATTTATTTATTTATTTGTAAATGTGGTCACCTTTTAAAAAAAAAAACACACAAAGGCGTTAGTGGAGGAGGGGGGGGGACAAAGTCCTAGAGGATTAGGCGAGTACTCTACACCAATTCATGTTTTCACACATACTTTTTAAATGTTTTCAATTTGTGTTATTTAAGAAAAAATTATAAAAAATTCAACACATGTCACTCGAAAATCATAGTCGGAAAAATTATTAAGATTCCTTCAAGATAAGACGTGCCATGTGGACACAAAATCTTATCAAAAAAATCTTCAAGCTCAAGATTGAATGAATTAATATAAAAAAAAACTCGAGAGAAATGTTGCCAAATTCACAATTGACAAGAAGCTGAGATTTGAGATTACAAATGAGAAAACTGCAATCATGAAAGAAAATTTTATTATGAAGTAATTTTATTTGTTCTTCTAGTGATTAAGTAGTTGAAAGAGAAATCCTCTCATGAGAATGAGAATAAGTTCATTTTATATGAGAGGATTCCGCAGTATGTATGGGAACAAGAACAAGGTTATTTAACAATAATGAATTGTTCTTTTTGGTCAATGAAGGATCTTGTTTTGGTCAATGAGTGAAATTGTGTTTTTTTTTTTTTTTTTTTTTTTTTTTTTTTTTTTTGTTTTTTGGAGAGAGTATTGAAGAAATGAAAATTGAGAAATTAGTAAAAAAATCAGACTATGTCTTTAGCGATTAGGCAAGTGTCTCTACATCAATGGGTTCGGTCATCGATCTAACTAAGTAGGCTTACTCGCTCAACTGCAAGCAGGAGTAAAAACCTCCCCAATGATCTATGGCATCATACTCTTGGTGTCTTCCACTATCGGACCAAATTGTCAATACGGTATGGTCGATACATGATATGTTATTCAAGATGATACAGATTTCTAAGTCATGGGCTTATTTAATCAAATCTCCAAATGAATCATCATTTGATGAAGCTTGGATCGTTTTGAAAATGAGTACAAAGAGAATGCAGCTGTGTTGAACTATATTTGAGATACTTGGCTGTCATTGAAAGAAAAATTTGTAAGTACTTGTGACAAAAAATTAGATGAACGCATTGGTTCAAAGATAATCTTTGAAGGAATATGTAAAAGACGAGTAGTTTGGATGATTGAAATACAATGCGGAATGGACCCACAAAGATGTTCCTTAAATAAATTTACAGAATTGTGCGCCCAATGGAGTTAGTTTGCAGGTTTCATTCTCACTTATGCACAACAGTAGTTTCTTTACTTCTTTTTCGAAGCAACAAAATTTTCTTCATAAAATGGCCCTAGGGAGTATCAATTTCATGATGAGTTAGCCAACATTAGGCCATCTCCAGTCATGGGCTATATCCTAAATATAGCTATAAAATAATGCAAAACTCATCTCCAGCCATGGGCTAAACAAAATTTTGGCCAAATTTGGAGGGCCACATTTGGCCCTTTAGCCCTCCAACGTGGCCACATGTAGCCTAGCTTAGGCCTAGGCCAAATTTTTTGTGGACCCCATGCATGTGCTTTTGAAGAAGATAAATTATCAAGTGTGGGCAAGAGCACGAATCATCTTGTGCAAATGCATATCCAACAGCCAACATTAAAAGCGCTGATGTCATTGATGACGTCAGCTAAATATATATATATATATATATATATAAACCTTTTTAAATATTTTCAATTCGTGTTGTTAAAAAATTAATGGTCATGACTGTTGGAGGTCAAACCACTGAAACCCATATTTTTTTTTCTTATTTATTTATTTATAAATGTGGTCGCCTCTTTAAAAAAAACAAACACAAATGCGTTAGTGTTTTATTAATGAGGAGAAAAGGGAAACACAAAAAAAAGGGGACAAAGTCCTAGAGGTTTAGGCGAGTACTCTACACCAATTCATGTTTTCACACATACTTTTGAAATGTTTTAAATGTGGCTTGAGCCATTTTCTCTCTTCGAGATATTGAGTTATTTTGTGAGCAAGATAGTGAGCTCCCTTTTTTATTATTTTATTTTATACATTTATTTATATTTTAGTTAGAGTGCAGTGTGAAATATACTACAATGAGAGTCTAAATGATGGGTTCATCCAACTTATTATTATTTTTATTATTATTTTGATACATTCTGGGATTGCATTCATAATTCAACCAAAAATATGAGGGGAGAGGGGTGGAAGATTAGTGGCTTCCTCACCCTTAAAAGTGAAAAATGGAATACGAAGTCTATGTGGAACACGAACCTCTTCACTTAAGAGTTGAGTTTTGATTTCTTGAAATTGATGTTCAATAGCAAGACATTTTTTATTTTACCTCACGAAGACCTCCAGTTGAAACTACTTCAAGATACTTCTTTAGCATTGCATGTGCACATTCAGCTCTTGAAGTAGCCTGATTACCTAAGTGTGCAACCTCATTTGTCCATGTACTTACAAATTTTTCTTTCAATGACAGCCAAGTACCTCAAATATAGTTCAAAACAGCTGCATTCTCTTTGTACTCATTTTCAAAACGATCCAAGCTTCATCAAATGATGATTCATTTGGAGATTTGATTAAATTTGTATCATCTTGAATAACATATCGCGTACCGACCGTACCGTATCGACAATTTGGTCCTATAGTGGAAGACACCAAGAGTATGATGCCATAGATCACTGGGGAGGTTTTTACTCCTGCTTGCAATTGAGCGGCTAAGCCTACTAGTTAGATCGACGACCGAACCCATTGATGTAGAGACACTTGCCTAATCGCCAACGACATAGCCTGATTTTTTTTTACTAATTACTCATTTTCTCTTCAATACATTTCTCATCAAAAAAAAAAAAAAAAAAAAAAAAATTCACTCATCAAACCAAAATAGACCAAAAAGAACAATTCATAAAATGTTAATAACTTTCTTATTCTTCTTCTTCATTCTTATTTTTCATTACCATGAGGAATCCTCTCATATAAACTCATGAACTATAATTCTCATTCTCATGAGAGGATTTCTCTTTCAACTACTTAATCACCAGAAGAACAAAAAAAAAATTACTTCATAATAAAATTTTCTAAAATTCTAATTCTAATTCATGATTACAGCTTTCTCATTTGTAATCTCAAATCTCAGCTTCTTGTCAATTGTGAATTTGGCAACATTTCTCTCGAGTTTTTTTTATTAATTCATTCAATCTTGAGCTTGAAGATTTTTTGGATGATTGAAGATTGAACCTCAATTTCTTGAGAATTCATAGACATATCCAATAACAGGGGTTAGTAATAGCTGGTGCAAAAGCCAATGGGCCAACTTTTGCCTGTGAGTTAGATACCGTGACTCTTTGAACCGAAGCTCGATTCCTTCCACGTGCATTAAAATATTTTTACAAACATAAAATCATATAATTTTTAATATAAAATAAAGAAAAATTAGATTGCAATTCTGATGACAAAAAAATGTGTCTCTTTTTATTCCCATATATATCAACAACTACAAAATGAATGAATGAATCAGATGGTAAATTAAATACAATAAAGCAAATGATTAAAATTCATAAAGCGCCCGCTGTACTTTCCCTCTTTACATAAGCATGGAGGCAGCGAAAACCCCAACGGCCAATGATCCCACGAAGGAGAACCTGTTTAAAACGGCACCGTTGGATGTAGGAGCTTCGGCGGGTGATCCTGAGACCGAAGAAGGGGGAGAGGTGGCCGGAGATTCAGGAGAAGACGATGGGGGAGAAGGTGGAGAGTCTGCGACCGGAGATGTAGAAGGAGCAGCCGAGGGTGGAGTGCCCGAAGGAGAAGGTGAGGTACTCAAAGGAGAAGGTGATGCAGCGGGTGGAGTGCTCAAAGGAGAAGGAGCGGCGGCGGGTGGAGTGCTCAAAGGAGAAGGGGCAGAGGCAGGGGACTTGGCTGGGGAAGATGCAGGGGATTGTGCCCTTGTTGAGGCCACCAAGAGGGCAGCCATTAGCACCAAAACGACAGCGTTGGATCGAGCCATTGTAGAAGAGCGAATGAAGACAGAGAAAGTGATAGGGTTTAACAGACAGGCAGATCAAGATTAAGAAGCGAAGGATGGGTTTAAGGAGAGAAGGGAGAGGGCATTTTATAGGTGGAGGGCTAAGGAGAGTTTGGAGAATAGATCACCGTCGACTTTGAGAAATTTCTAAAGGGGTTTTGGACGGTGCAGATTTTGTGGTTGGGATGGAAGGAAATATTATACGTAGCAAGTTGGACTTGGTTAGAAACGCGTGACCAGAACGCGGTTGTTGTATTGGCTGGTTTTTAGTGGCTGTCAGATGTAAAGGTGTTGCTGCATGAAAAAGGACTAAAGTTCAATCCAAGAAGGTCTCGCACGAAAACTTAGAAGCCAAAGTCAAGAAAACCAGTTCCAGCAAAGAATATGATTGTGACTAGCCTGGGGACAACACCACACCTTTGTGACTAAGTCACTTTTGCATCGTTAGCTTAACACCTATAACTCAATTTTCTTATTCAAGACAATATTATCATCATAAAGAAAGCCAGGAATCTATCTAAGGCACCGCTCAGCTCAAATATTTCCGGGGATGCGTTCCCCATCTAGTGCCCAATCAACCCATGAAGATGACTTCTATCATCATGAACAAAGAATCTCTAAGTCAAGGCTCCGCTCAAATACATATCTATGGATGCACTCAACATTCAGTTCTCAAACAATCCATAAGGATTGCTGGTTTTTATGACTTCTATCATCATAAATAAAGTCAGGAATCCTCTCTAAGACGTGGCTCCGCAGCTCCGCTTCGTTCAAGACCGTTGGGTCTCTCTCTGTGATGCCTTCAAGCATCCCAAACAACAAGATCTTGAGATTTCTCTCACTGATGTCTTCATCATCCAAAACAGCAAGTTCAATCCTTGGGGATTGTTATGTTTCACAGTGCTGTTAAAAGACTTGGAGTTTTCTGGGTTCCTCTTAGTGGTCTTGTTCCAATGCCGGCTACAAAAAATTGAGACTCGAGGACAATTAAGACATAAAGAAACGAACTAGCAAGAGGTCACAAAAGACTTCAGTTCGCAGGTTGGAAGGCCATGTGCATTGTTGCCTTGAGCTTGAAAGACGTGATCAAGAAAGCAAAAGGCTTGTGCTCAGCTCATTAACAAATCATTAACAGCTACAACCCAATACGAAATTACAAGATTTGATGGCCCAAGACCTAATGGTCTCATATGCATTGGGCTCGTCTCACATCTCAAGATCAGTCGGTCTTAAGCCAACATTCCAAGACTCGACGGTCTCAAATACAGCGGTTAATTCTATTGCAAGTCTCAAGCACAATAGAATCGTCCACTAAAAATTCAATTTGGGTAAAATTTTCTTGCCATATCATTATATACATTTGTTGTTTTAATTGTTTAAATGAATTATTTATCTATATTTAATTTTTTTTTCAGTGAAAAGTCGTGATGTATCGAAATTCATAAAAATACACGAGTGTCATGGTTGCATTGTCGTGTATCTATGTTTTCTACCGTATAATTTATATTTGTTTGACTAATTCGTTATACCATGTCAATACGATGATTACATGGTATGATTACTCAGCATAATTAATATTATGAAAATATGAGTGAAACACATTACAAATTTAAAAAAAGCAAGTGACATTATGTGAACAATCATACCATAAAATCAAATATGACAATGAGAACTTCGTCTAAGAGAAAACAGAATAAAGGAAGGCTATATTAAAATGAATTAATATAAAAATAAATTACTTCCAAAAAACAGTGGGTGAAGTTTTATACATTTATAAGGAAATTGATATCCTTTCCTCATATGGTCGCAATAAAATTGTTGCGGAACAATATAGGAAAATTTTGAAGCCTTAGATACCCTATACTATTATTAGAGTGATTCCAATATACCTTGGTGCGAGACGCCAGAAACTGGATCTCTCTTTTCTCTCTGTACAAGCTTTGCTTGAGTGTGAGCATTGAGCACAAGAGTGAAACGGATGTCGGTTGGGGAAGAGAGGGGGAGAGAAGAAGAGAGTGGGTCATAGAAAGGCGGATTTGTGGGGTGGGTCGGAGAAGGTGGCTGGGGTGAGAGAGGGAGAGAGGGGTTACTGGGCTACGAGATTTTTATTTTTGGTTTTAAAAATTTAAAAGTTAAATTATTTGTAAAGAATAGGTGGGTTATTTTTTTCCCTAAGTCGATAGAAATAGTTTTACAAAGGGGTAAATTTGTCTTTAAAATTTTGAAGATAAGGTGAGTGAGGAATTAAGACGGGGTGAAAATAGCATCACTCTCTTCTAGATGGTGTAACAATAATGAATTGTTTTTTATAGTCAGTAGTGGATCTTGTTCTGGTCAATGATGAATGATTTTAAATTTAGAAATGATGAACAAGAGTGATCAATAAATTAGGGGGAACTTGTTAGGACTTAAGGAAACTAACCGTTACATACTTTAACTTTACATACAACAGCTAGGAAAAGCAGCCCAATATACAAACAAACCACGTTTTGCTCCAACCAAATCCACCTTGTTGAGATCTCCACCGTTAAAGCTAGTTTCTCACAATTCAACGGACCAGTGTTCTACAAGCCAATCCTCCTCAGCGTCCCTCTATAAAACCCAACATCTTCTCTCAATAAACCAATCCCTGGCTTCTTCATTTGCCTCTTAAACCCCCCCTAAAGCCCCATAACTCTCTCTCTCTCTCTCTCTCTCTCTCTCTCTCTCTCTCTCTCTCCAATGGGTCGATTCAGTAATGTTGTTTTGGTGCTAATGGCTTCACTTTTGCTGGCCTCAACAACAGAAAAATCCCATGCATCATCACCTGCCAAATCACATGCGCCTTCTCAATCTAGCGCTCCATCTAAGGCTTCACCTTCCCCTTCTCCATCGAGTGCTCCACCAAAGGCTGCTCCTACTACGCCCGAAGCTGAGTGTCCGCCTTCTCCTCCCTCATCTTCCCCTGTTAGCTCTGCGGAGATTTCTCCCTCTTCGAGTTCTGGTTCGTCTTTTGAGTTTCCTACATCCGCGCCTAACTTGGCCGTTTCAAAAAAGTTTGCCTGGTCGATGGGATTTACTTTGGAAACTTGGTTAAACAAGTACTTTGGGGGCAGAGAAAGGATCCACTAGTGTAATGGTTTGAAGTAATTACTCTCCCAGAAACTTATTGGGTTCGAGTCTAAGCATCTGTGTGATGTGTGTGAGTTTAATATGTTATCGCCTCTCTAAAAAGTCCAACAGAAAACTTTGGGGGTTTACCTATCCATTTTAATTATCTATTTGAATATTACTTCTATTTATTCATTTATTGGGAAATAGATAGCGACTTTATTCCCCCAATTATTACTTGAATATAGTGGACAACTTTACCATTTGAAGAATTATGATTCCATTTAACGGCTAATGGTTGAGATTATTATTAATCAAAAAGTTGGGTGATGGTTTCTCAATCATGCACCAGAATTTTTTTTTGGTCAAGGAGTATTTCAAAGAGGGCCCTCATCCTCCGAACTGAGAATGAAAGGGAAGATTGTTTTTTAAGAGGGTGTTACAACAAATGATTTTTTTTTTGGTTACCAACTATGAAAGAATTTTGAAATACAATAGGAATGCAATAATTTTTTTCGTTTTGTTTATAAAATGCATAACAATAGATGACAATTAAATACCAATAACATCATTTACAATCTTTATTAACTCCCATGGTTCCATTTTATTCCATTCAATTGGATTGTTCATTCCAACAATCAAACACTTCTTTAACTATTAATGACATAGATCCTGAGCCTCTACATTTAGGTCTTGTAAATTTATCCACATTTGGCACAATCCAAACCAATCTAATAATTGTGTATTTACCCAGTTATAGCTCGAATAAATGAATTACTTCAAATATTCCCTCCTAACCTACTATGGCTCAAATAAATGAATTTTATTATACCTAGTATCCTACAATTATATTTAAACATTCCTTAATATTGTGACACCCCGACCTAAATTTTAAATTTAATTAATTGTGAAATTAGAATTTTGCCCTTGGGATAGGGTTATTTTGGTCACTTTTTAATCCGGTAGGATTTTGGGAAAATGAATGGTACCATTGCATAGAGCGTGTCGATACGAGTTCATAGACATATAATGGGCTTAAATTAGAGTTGTAACAAAGAAGTTACGATCAACAGAAGTATAGTGACACAACCGTAAATAACTCGAAGTTGGATTTTTAAAACTCAGATTTCTCTCTCTCTCTCTCTCTCTCTCTCTCTCGTGTGACTACATAGCCGGCCATATTTTGGCCGACAGTTTTCATGTTCGACCACTGTTGGCCATGAGACCTATACCAAAATGACCGGCTCAACTCCCTCTTTCCACCTCAACCCTCCCAGCCACAGCCGACAGCCCGGGTAGCTGGAAAAAGCTCAAAACAGGCCGGTTGGACAATGTCTATTGTGCTAGATAGAGTAGGACTGATAAGAGACTGAGATCCTCGTTTGAGTCTATTGGACAAAGTTGCGTGAAGCTTTTGGGACCCAATTGCAGTTCAGTACTGCATTTGATTTGCAGACTGATGGGCAGTCGGAAAGAACAATTCTAACTTTGGAAGATATGCTAAGAGCCTGTGTGCTACAATTTCGGAGAGATTGGGATCATAAACTACCTCTCATGGAGTTTGCATATAATAATATATATCAATCAAGCATTGGGATGTCAACCTACGATGCCTTATATGGAAGACAGTGTAGGATTCCAATTTATTGGGATGAAGTAGGTGAGCAAAGATTGGAAGTATCTGAAGATGTTGAAGCAACGAAGGAGAGGAGAAAGTTAAACTGATCAGAGAAAGACTCAAGGTAGCACAGGATCAATAAAAGAGTTATGCCGACAATAGAAGAAAGGATCTTCAGTTTGAAGTTGGTGATTGGGTGTTCTTAAAGTTGTCGCCTTCGAAAGGTGTGGTGAGATGTGGAAAGTGGGGGAAGTTAAGCCCTAATTACATTCGGCCATATGAGATTTTGGAGCTTGTAGGCCCAGTGGCCTATAGACTTGCTTTGCATTCGGAACTTTCTCGGTTACACGACGTATTCCACGTCTCCATGCTCCGAAAGTATATTTCAGATCCTTCTCATGTTCTGGAGTCGCAACCAATAGAATTGAAGGATGATTTGAGTTATGTGAAGCAACCCGTTCAGATTTTGGACTGGAAGATACAAGTACTATGTTCTAGAGAGATTCCACTTGTAAAAGTCCTATGGAGGAGTCATGCAATGGAGGAGGCCATTTAGGAACCCGAGGAACATATGCAAACCCAGTACCCTTACCTCTTCAAGTGACATGCATGAAATTTCAAGGACGGAATTTTTTATAAAGGGGGTGGATTGTAATAACTTGATCCTAAATTAATATTTAATTATTAATTTATTCAAATAAAAGACAATTTTACCACGGGAATATTTTAATGGTTTAAAAGTTGACTTTTTGTTCGGGAAAAAATATGGGGATTTTAGTAGTACCGTTGCATAGAGCACGTCAAAATGAGTCTGTAGACACTAGTAGGATCAAATCGGAGTTATAACGAAGAAGTTATGATCTATGAAAGCCCAGTGGGATTACCGTAAATATTTCGAAGTCATTTTTTAAAAAACCCAGATTTCTCTCTCTCTCTCTCCCCTTTGTCAACAGGGTGCATCAGGGTGTTATCTTTGTGGTTAGCAAGTACATTTTCGGAGGGAGTACCCAATGTTACTACAAGGTAAAGAAATTACTATTGGCCCAACCTAGGGGAGTGGTGCATAGAGCTGAGTGCAGGGTACATCTCAGTTTGTGGGAGCCTTATCCAGTAGTGGGGCCCAGACTAGTACGGCTAACATAGGGGAAGTCAATAAAGGGGACGTGGTGAGCATTCGAAAGCAACTGGTCGAGTATATAATGACTCAGCAGGACGCACAGGCGTCACCAGACGTCATCATAGGTATGTTACAAGTCTTTGGATCTTCTGCAAGTGTCTTGATCGACCCCAGGGCTACACATTCTTTTGTTGCACTTAACCCATAATGTTGACGTGAGACTCACGGCTCTGCGTGAGGAGCTTTCTATTTCTGTACCCACGGGAGATATTTTTATGGTTGGTGCGGTTTACAGGGATAGTTTGGTGTTAGTCGGAGATATATTCCTGGAGGCGAACTTAATCCCTTTGGATATCGTGGATTTAGATGTTATTCTGGGTATGGATTGGTTAGCCAAGCATCATGGTTCGGTTGACTGTTTCTAGAAGGAGGTCATATTCTGTAGTCCCGGACGACCTGAGGTGACTTTCTATAGGGAGTGTAGAGTTCTTCCATCTTGCCTCATTTCAGCCATGACGGTGAGACGGTAACTTAGAAAGGGATGCTTAGGATATTTGACTCATGTGATTGATACACGGGAAAATGGATTGCAGTTGGAAGATATTCCGGTGGTATGGGAATTTCTGGATGTGTTCCTAGAAGATCTTCTTGGTTTACCGCTTGAACGGGAGATTGAATTTACTATTGAACTCGTCCTATGAATGAATCCTATTTCTCAGGTGTCGTATAGAATGGCACTAGTTGAATTGAGAGAGTTGAAAACTCAATTGCATGAACTGGTGGACAAAGGGTTTCATCCGACCTTGTTTTTCTCCTTGGGGTGCACCAGTTATGTTTGTGAAGAAGAAGGATGGCACCATGAGGTTGTGCATTGATTATAAACAGTTGAACAAGGTCACAGTGCGAAACCAATATCCATTGCCATGCATTGAAACTTGTTCGATCAGTTGAAGGGTGTTAAAGTGTTTTCTAAGATTAATTTGAGATCAGGCTATCATCAGTTGTGGATTAGGGAAGATGACGTACCTAAGACTGCTTTCCAAACAAGGTATGTCCATTACGAGTTTTTGGTGATGCCTTTTGGGCTAACTAATACACCAGCATCGTTTATAGATCTCATGAACAGAGTGTTCCGACGTTACCTGGACTGCTTTGTGATTGTGTTCATCGACGATATCCTTATGTATTCTAAAAATAAGAAGGCGCACATGAAGCACTTGGAAATTGTGCTGAGAACTTTAAGGAGAAAACAATTGTATGCAATGTTCAGCAAGTGTATGTTCTGGTTGGACAGAGTTAGTTTCTTGGGGCACATGATTTCTGCTAAAGGTATTTAAGCGGATCCCCATAAGGTGGAAGTAGTGGTAAACTGACTGCAACCAGCTAATGTCACTGAGGTACGAAGTTTTTTTTGGGTTAGTCGGGTATTATTGTTGCTTTGTGGAGGGTTTCTCCGCTATAGCGACACCTCTTACTCACTTGACAAGGAAAAGAGTTAAGTTAGAATGGACGGATGAGTCTGAAGAAAACTTCAATGAACTCAAAACCAGGTTGACAAATTCTCCAGTATTGACACTTCTTGATCATGGTGGAAACTTTGTTATCTACAGTGATGCATCACGACAGGGGATTGGTTGTGTGTTGATGCAACACGGTAAGGTAATCGCTTATGCTTTTACAAAACTTAAGAAGCATGAGTTGAATTACCTCACTTATAATTTGGAGCTTGCTGCAGTGGTGTTCACCCTAAAGATTTGCTGGCATTATCTTTATGGAGAAGCGTGTCAAATTTTTACGGATAATAAGAGTTTAAAGTATTTATTCACCTATAAGGAATTGAATTTGAGACAAAGGAGATGGTTAGAATTGATAAAGGATTATGACTGCACTATTGAACATTATCCTAGGAGAGCTAATATTGTGGCTGATGCTCTTAGCAGGAAGTCATCTGGATCTTTGGCTCATCTCTGAGGGAAGTATCTTCCAATGTTGGTTGGGTTGAGAAAGTCGAGAGTTGAGTTAAGTTTGGATGATCAGAGAGCCTTGCTTGCTACTCTCCACATAAGACCAGTGTTGCTTGAACGAAATATCGAAGCTCAAATGCAAGATCCGTTAATTTTCACATTAAGGTTGGAAGTTGAGAATGGTATGATAACAGATTATTCAGTTTGGAAGGATGGAGCCTTGATGGTAGGAACAAGATTGTATGTACCTAGGGATAAAGCATTAAAGAGAGAAATTCTTGACAAGGCCCACTGTTCAGCCTTCGCCATGCATTCTGGTAGCACAAAGATGTATTGCACCCTGAGAGAGCATTACTGGTGGCCCTTCATGAAGAAGGAAATAGCAGAATATGTCAATAAGTGTTTGATTTGTCAGCAAGTCAAGGTACAACGGTAGAAACCATCTGGGTTGTTGCAACCACTTCCGATTCCTAAGTGGAAGTATGAGCACATTACTATGGACTTTGTGTTCAAACTTCCTCGGACACGAAAGAATTATGATGGAGTTTGGGTAATAGTGGATCGACTCACTAAGTCCTCTCATTTTCTGCCAGTGAAAGCGACTTATACTTTGAATAAATTGACCAAAATTTTTATTGCTAAAATTGTAAGATTGCATGGGGGAAAGTGTCTATTGTGTCAGACAAAGATCCTTATTTTACATCCCGGTTTTGGACAAAGTTGCATTATGCTTTTGGGACCCAATTGCGGTTCAGTATTGCATTTCATTCGCAGACTGATGGCAGTCAGAAAGAACGATTCAAACATTGGAAGATATGCTAAGAGCCTGTGTGCTACAGTTTCAGGGAGATTGGGATGATAAACTACATCTCATGGAGTTTGCATATAATAATAGTTATCAATCAAGCATTGGGATGTCGCCCTAAGATGCCTTGTATGGAAGACAGTGTAGGACTCCAATTTATTGGGATAAAGTAGGTGAACAAAGATTGGAAGTATATGAAGACGTTGAAGCAACTAAGGAGAAATTTAAACTGATCAGAGAAAGACTCAAGGCAGCACAAGATCAACAAAAGAGTTATGCCGACAATAGAAGGAAGGATCTTTAGTTTGAAGTTGGTGATTGGGTATTCTTAAAGTTGTCGCCTTCGAAAGGTGTGGTGAGATTTGGAAAGCCGGGGAAGTTAAGCCCTCGATACATTGGGTCATATGAGATTTTGGAGCGTGTTGGCCCAATGGCCTATAGACTTTCTTTGCCTTCTGAACTTTCTTGGTTATACGACGTATTCCACGTCTCCATGCTCCGAAAGTATATTTCAGATCCTTCTCATGTTCAAGAGTCATAACTAATAGAATTGAAGGATGATTTAAGTTATGTGGAGCAACCCGTTCAGATTTTGGACTGGAAGATACAAGTACTACGTTTTAGAGAGATTCCACTTGTGAAAGTCCTGTGGAGGAGGCCACTTGGGAACCCGAGGAACAAATGTGGGCCCAGTACCCTTACCTCTTCGAGTGACTTGTATGAAATTTCGAGGACGAAATTTTTTATTAGGGGGGGTAGATTGTAATAACCCAATCCTAAATTAATATTTAATTATTAATTTATTCAAATAAAAGACAATTTTACCCCGGGAATATTTTAATGGTTTAAAAGTTGACTTTTTGTTCAAAAAAATCTAGAGATTTTAGTAGTACCGTTGCGTAGAGCACGTCGAGATAAGTCCATAGACACATAGTGGGCTCAAATTAGAGTTATAACAAAGAAGTTATGATCTACGGAAGCCCAGTGGCATAACCGTAAATATTTCGAAGTCATTTTTTTTAAAAACCCAGATTTCTCTCTCTCTCTCTCTCTCTCGTCCTCACGAATCTCTCTCTCCAAGCACACTATGTGAATAGTATTATGCCCTCTCTTAAGTTATGTTGGATCCAACTAGAAAAAGATTTGACTTAAGGCCCAAGCAACATACCCAAGATCAGTATACAAACATCAAGATCAGACTAATCAGACCAAAATCGTGTCAGATAACCCTAGATCGGGCTAGCTTGCCCAAGACTGAGCTACCTTTCTTGACATAGAGCTCAAGTGTTTTCTAGTGCGATATTAATTAAACATGTAAAAGATGATAAATGAAGACTTCATAAACTTAAATGCAATCAGAAAGGATGATTTAGAATTGAAGATTTCACGATTCAATCCATTACAACAAGAGTTTAAAGGAAAGCAACTGATAAATTGATAAAACTAGTAAATTGACAGACTGGTAAAGAGAAAACAACAAGTCTGGCAACTAGGAATTGTTACCAAGTATTGGCAGAGCAATAAAATTAAAAGATAACTCAGGAATTATCAACTAGATATCTTAATACATAGAGAAATAGTTGAGTTTCAAAGGGATATCAAGTGTTGATCGAGTGTGTCCTTTTATGGGAGGAAAGTTGTGTATTTTGAGAGTTGTGCTTTGTTGGTATTTATAGGTTTCTTGGTTCTTGAATCCGCACCCTTGGTGAAGGGATGGCTTGAAACTGTTGTCAGTCCTTTCTTTGCGGGGTGCAATTGGTGAACAGCTATGATTTTTATGTTGCCGGTGAGCTGCCCAAGCATGGCTTTCTTCGACAAGCTGGTTCAGTAGACTGATGGTTCAAATCGCATTTAATGCGGTTGCTCAGCCTATCTTTTGCCGCCTGACTTCTTCCCAATTGTCGAAGTCAACTTGGGCTTTGATTTGGGTAGTCCCACCTTTACCCGAGTAAAAGCATTTTTGAATTGTAAGCAACGGCTTTTGTTTTTGGAAAGTCAAAATTATTGGGCCTCTATCTTTAAGCGACTCCCTTTATGAATTCAAGCGACACAAAGCCCATAAGCAATTCATGGAAATAATATTGTCTTGAATAAGAAAATTGAGTTATAGGTGTTAAGCTAACGATGCAAAAGTGACTTGGTCACAGAGGTGTGGTGTTGTCACAAGGCTAGTCACAATCATATTCTTTGCTGGAACTGGTTTTCTTGACTTGGCTTCTAAGTTTTCGTGGGAAACCTTCTTCGATTGAACTTTAGTCCTTTTTCATGCAGCAACACCTTTACATATACCAGCCAATACAACAACCGTGTTCTGGTCACACGTTTCTAACCAAGTCCAGCTTGCTACGTAATATTTCCTTCCATCCCAACCACAAAATCTGCACCGTCCAAACCCCTTTACAAATTTCTCAAAGTCAACGGTGATCTATTCACCGAACTCTCCTTAGCCCTCCCCTATAAAAAGCCCTCTCCCTTCTCTCCTTAAACCCATCCTTCGCCTCTTAATCTTGATCTGCCTGTCTCTTAAACCCCATCACTTTCTCTGTCTTCATTCGCCCTATACAATGGCTCGATCCAACGCTGTCGTTTTGGTGCTAATGGCTGCCCTCTTGGTGGCCTCAACAAGGGCACAATCCCCTGCATCTTCCCCAGCCAAGTCCCCTGCCTCTGCCCCTTCTCCTTTGAGCACTCCACCCACCGCCGCTCCTTCTCCTTTGAGCACTCCACCAGCTGCTTCACCTTCTCCTTTGAGTACCTCACCTTCTCCTTTGGGCACTCCACCCTCGGCTGCTCCTTCTACATCTCCCGTCACAGACTCTCCACCTTCTCCCCCATTGTCTTCTCCTGAATCTCCAGCCACCTCTCCCCCTTCTTCGGTCTCAGGATCCCCCGCCGAAGCTCCTACACCCAACGGTGCCGTTTTGAACAGGTTCTCCTTCGTGGGATCCGTGGCCGTTGGGGTTTTCGCTGCCGCCATGCTTATGTAAAGAGGGAAAGTACAGCCGGAGTTTTATGAATTTTAATCATTTGTTTTATTGTATTTAATTTACCATCTGATTAATTCATTCATTTGTAGTTGTTGATATATATGGGAATAAAAAGAGGCATTTTTCTGTCATCAAAATTGCAATCTAATTTTTCTTTATATTATATTAAAAATTATATAATTTTGTGTTGGCAAAAATATTTTAATGCACGTGGAGGAACCGAGCTTAGGCTCAAAGAGGCACGGTATATAATCCACATACGAGAAGGCAAAAGTTGGCCCATTGGCTTTTGCACCAGCTATTGCCAACTCATGTTATTGGATGTGTCCATGAATTCTCAAGAAATTGAAGTTCAATCTTCATTCATCCAATTTTTTTGATGAAAAATTAGGGCTTAGAGGCCGTTTTCCATTTCATTCTTAGAAACACTAAAATTTGCGTTTGGTGGTGAGTTTGAGAAATCGCAGAAAATGTTTTGAACCTTTTAGTTCTAATTCATTGAAAACGCATAAAACATCAAAATGATGTTTTCATTTGCATAAAAAAAAAAAAAAAAAAAAAAAAACAAAAAGCAACCAGCATAACCCAACCATCATCACATCACTACCCAATACCCACTAGCTACAGGCCAATCGACCCTACCATCAATACCACTAGTACCAAATTGAAGTACTAGCAGTGTCGACCCTAGACAGGGGTGGTAAGTGTAATTGCCCTGGGCCCACTATCCAGGGGGCCCTAATTTTTTTATTTTTTATTTTTTATAAAGAGTAACATGGGTGTTTCAACTCTTTTAAACTCTAATTGATTGCAACTTTGGAAGTTTTAAGTTTGTTTGTGGAGTGGGATTTCTCAAATTCCAAGTTATGTTGTTCTTTGTTTATTATTTGAAGTTTAAAATTTCATTGGATTTCTTTGTACTGATTCTGATTTCAAGTAGCCATAATTTATTAAAAAACAACACTATGGAACTTAAAAAAGAAAAAGAAATTATTGAATTGTTACAAGTATTTATCTTGTTTATGCATTAGATTTGAATGTATCAAGTGTAGCCTCATATTTTAGATTTTATATATTCAAGTTTGTATTTATATAATTTGTTGGGCTAATGTCAAAAGGCTCCCTGAAGGTTTGGGGTCATTCTTAATATGGGCCCTTGAGTTTCAATTTCATCAATTTACACCTCATGGTTTTCAATTTCACCAAACAGTTAACTTAATGGAAGACTTAAATTGGTCAAATTTGAAAATCATGAGGTGTAAATTAATGAAATTAAAACTCGAGGGCCTAATGACGCCAAACCTTCTGAGAGTCTTTTGACATTAGCCTTAATTTATTTGTCTTGAATGTAAAATTTTTAGTTAATTTGAATAAGTTAAATCTTGATTGAAAAATGAGAGTGAGTCTAGCACTTAAATGAAAAATATATATTTTATATATAGAGGGTAAATTTTTTTCATTTGCCCTAGGTCCTAAAAAATTCAAGACCGGCTCTGAGTACCACCACCCACTCAGCAAGAAGAAAAGAGGAAGGAGAGAAGAGGAAGAAAGATAAAGAAGGAACGGAGCCTGGGAAGGAAGAAAAGAGAAAGGAGAGAAGAGGAAGAAAGAAAGAAGAAAGAAAGAAGAAAAAGAAAGGGAGGGCATCGGCTGAAAGCAACTACTTTTGAGTTGTATTTTTTTTAATTTTGTTTTTAATTTTTGTATTTAATTTTTATTTTTATTTTTATTTTTATTTTGGTATTTGTTCAAAAATATATATTTTTTAAATGAAAATTTCAGCCTAAAAAAAATCAAAATTTTATTTTATTGTTAAATTATATATTTTTTTATTGTTTATGTTGCCAGACACGTTTTCACTGTTTTTATTTTCTAAAACTGTATTTGAGTTAAGCTATCAGACACATTCTCGAATCTTGAAACTGCAAATTTATTTCTTATTTTCATTCTCTGAAAATATTCTCCAAAAACGTTACCAAATGACCCCTTATATGTGCAGGTGAAAAGGCTTTAACTTTAGTTGTCGTTTTCAATTAGCAAAACCAGTTGTTGATAGCTTTGTCATTTGGGCATTGGAAAAGCATGATTTTGATAAGAAAGTTGAAGATCAATTTTCACCCTCAAGTTTTTGACCAAAAAAAGAAGAAGAAAGGAAATCGTTATGCTCAAGAGTGAACTTTAAAAAGATCTTAAACTTCCAACCTTTTTATATGCATCCTAGGCTTCTCCAACCTTTTTAGAAAGACCCATTATTAGCACACACATATTGTACAACCGCCCCAAATACACGCACTTTCACCCAAATTACAAGAAGCAATGTGGCATTTGTGAGCCTTGGAAAACTTTGTATTTTTAGTTAGTGTTATCTGTGCGCATTGAAAATTTTTTGGAGCTCAAAGTAGCCATGATCATGCAGCCCACATAACTTTGGCCTTGGAATTACCCAGCTAATGCCCATCTCTCTGCACAAATTCGACTATTGACCCCCGGCAATGAACGTGTGATCAACCGTTTCCAAATTCTTCTTAAATGGGATACACCATTGAGGAGACAAGCGGGAATACGGAAGCTTTCTTTGAACCATTCACAAGTCTTCACCTCTTTTAATATTGTACTACAAAAATCGTTGCACTATAAAACTCATTAATAGTGAAAGTTCTTGTGATTTCCTGGTAATGTGTGAAAGATGGGAAGACTGAAATTTTCAAATTTCTATTGGAGTGATTCCAATATACCTTGGTGCGAGACGCCAGAGAACAGATCTCTCTTTAAGCTTTGCTTGAGTGTGAACGTTGAGCAAGAGTGAAACGGATGCAGGTCGGGGAAGAGAGGAGGAGAGAAGAACAGAGTGAGTCGTGGAAGGGCGGATCTGTAGGGTGGGTAAGAGAAGGTGCTTGGGGTGAGAGAGGGAGAGAGGGGTTGCTGGGCTACGAGATTTTTTTTTGGTTTTAAAAATTTAAAAGTTAAATTATTTTTAAATAATAGGTGGGTTACGTTTTTTTCCCTAAGTCTTTAGAATTCATTTTACAAATGGGTAAATTTGTCTTTCAAAATTTGAAGAAAAGGTAGGTGGGAAAATAAGACAGGAGGTGGAAATAACAGCACTCTATTTTAGACAATGTAATAATAATGAATTGTTTTTGAAATTTTATATTTAAACCCCACACTTCTCTTAGTTCACCCCAACTTTTAATTTAAAATTTCACAATTTTTAAAAAAACCCCACTATCTTCCCAAACTACTCTTAAATACACCCCAAGCTGAAAAAATAAGAAATAAAAGAAATACATTGTGATTGCTACACTTAGCAGTAGGAGTGGGCCATCTGATTGACCATCAATGGAGAATACATTGAAGCTTTTATCAGAGTGGAAAAGCAACAAGAAAAATAACCCAACTGTTGAAGCAGCAGCAGCAGGATAAACAAGAATGACCAATAAATTAGGAGGAATTTGTTAGGACTTATGGAAACTAACCGTCACATTATCAACTTTAACTTTATATACAACAGCTAGGAAAAGCAGCTCAACATACAAACAAACCACGTTTTGCTCCAACCAAATCCACCTTGGAGAAATTTCCACCGTTCAAACTAATTTCTCACAATCCAACAAACCAGTGTTCTATAAGCCAAGCCTCCTCAGCGTCCCTCTTTAAAACCCAACATCTTCTCTCAATAAACCCATCCCTGGCTTCTTCATTTGCCTTTTAAACCCCCTAAAACCCCATAACTCTCTCTCTCTCTCTCTCTCTCTCTCTCTCTCTCTCTCTCTCTCTCTCTCCAATGGGTCGATTCAGTAGTGTCGTTTTGGTGCTAATGGCTTCCCTCTTGCTGGCCTCAACAATGGAAAAATCCCATGCATCATCACCTACCAAGTCTCATGCGCCTTCTCAATCAAGCGCTCCATCTAAGGCTTCACCTTCCCCTTCTCCATCGAGCACTCCACCAAAGGCTGCTCCTACTGCGCCCGAAGCTGACTGTCCGTCTTCTCCTCCCTCATCTTCCCCGGTTAGCTCTGTGGAGATTTCTCCCTCTTGGAGTTTCGGTTTGTCTTCTGAGGCTCCTACATCCGCTCCTAACTTGGCCGTTTCGAGAAAGTTTGCCTGGCCAATGGGATTTACACTGCAAACTTGGTTAAATAAGCACTTCGGGGGTGGAGAAAGGATCCATTAATGTAGTTGTTTGGAGTAATTGCTCCACAGAAACGTACTAGTTCAAGTCTTAACATCCGTGTAGTGTGTGTGAGTTTAATATGTTATCGTCTCTCTAAAAGTCTAACAAAAAACTTTGAGGGGGTTTACCTATCCAATTTTAATTATCTATTTGAATATTAATTCTATTTATTCATTTATTGGGAAATAAATAGCGACTTTATTCTCCCAATTATTACTTGAATATAGTGGACAGCTTTACCATTTGAAGAATTATGATTCCATTTAACGGCTAATTAATGGTTGAGATTATTATTAATCAAAAAGTTGGGTGATGGTTTCGCAATCATGGATCAGAATTATTTTTTTGTCAAGAAGTATTTCAAAGAGGGCCCTCATCCTGAATTTTGTTTTTTTACAATAAGTCATTGTTTTATATATGAACTAGCAGAAAGAAGATATACTCTTCACAGACACACCCAAAAAATTAAAACAAAAAAACAAGAACAAAAACCTGAGAGCAAAGTCTTCATGATCTACCCTAGGTATTCTTCTTCATAGTTTCTTCATCTTTTTCTTCACAATTTCTTATGTTCTGTTTCTCTCTATTTACAAAGTCATCTGCTTCTTATTTACAAGTATTCGAACTCAAGTTTGTCTATCAATTCTCTCTTTGATTTATAACGTTGTTTGAGTAGCTGTGTGAAAATTACTATGTGTTAAGATATATCATATGAGTTTTGGGTTTTGAGATTTTTTGAGAATAGGCTGTGTGGGTTTGGGTACCTTTAGCAATGGATATTATCCGTTGCTAAAAGTCAATTTTCACATAGTGCATAGAGAGGTCCTTGTATCCCAGCAAATCCCGGGCAAATTGTCTACAAAATATAGCCTCTATACATTAGTTAGACGCATGCCTGTAGTACTTATATTTATTTATTAGTATCCTAATCAATGGTCCAAAATTCAAGTAGGGAAGTTCCCTAAAATAACTCAATTATGCATGTCTTGGTCAAAAGATCCAAAATCATTTTTTTGTTTTCATCAAAGAAAAACTTTAATCACACTGAAGCCAACATCAATACATCCAGAAATCTTAGACTCTGATGTGCTATAACGTGGTCTCGTTAAAATCTTGCTAGAAGAATCTTCATCCGATGAAAAAAGAAAAAGAATATTATATAGCACCACCAACAGTTCGAACATGTATAATATACGTGTGCAATTGTATAATAACTCCCAAGTTAATTTGGCTCCGACGCCAAAAGTCTTTCATGCAGCCCGTTTTGCTCATGTTCCTATGTTTTCATACACTTTGCACGATACCACCAGCTCCCCGAGGAGGTCAATGAGACAGTTCCATATATATATATTGCCCAAGGCAAATTCGAGGACCAACTATTTGGCTATAAATATTTGCTGCTATCAAATAATATTGATATTGAAGATGTGCATTATCAGAAAGAAAAAGAATATATTTTCTTTTGCTCTCATACGGATTAGATTAAGCAAGGAAAATATAACATCGCATATGGTGATGCGGCGGCAGAGCGCTGGAGGTGGCGGCGGTACGTATATGAGCAATTTTGGAACACATGAAGAAAAGTCCAATGTTGGGTTCAAATTTTCAACTACAAAAACTCAATCTTTTTTTTATTTTTGCTTTTAAATAAAAAACTATCAGCGCAAATTTGGGATTCTATGAATCGCTCTTGGCAAATCTTTGTCTGGTACGATGACAAAGTCAGGACCTAGCTATTGTCCCAAACCAAACTGGATATCCAAAAGGGCAAGTGAGGGATAGTACTATCCCAAGCCGCCAAACTGATATAAAAAAGGGCAAGTCAGGACCTACTATATCCCAAAACAAACTTGGATATCAAAAAGGGCAAGTCAGGAGTTACTATCCCAAAACGGTAAGGAAAAAGAAGAAATAGATAGCTATTTACTTGATCACAGAGCTATTATATATATAGCCCTCTCTCTACCCCCATTGTGTTCCAGGTTTAAGATAGTGCATGCACACATCAAGCTTCTCGATAATCTTTTCCATTTTCGCTTCTTTTTCCTTGCTGCTTCTCTCTTTCTTACTTCATATTCATAGTTTGCGATTTTAAGTACCATGGATGAACAAGGAGGAGCACCACGAGATTTACCTGGACAAGAATCACCATCATATTACAACAACCTTCAATATGAAGCTGCAGTCACTACAGCTATTTACTATGGTAGAATGGTTGTTGGGGGTCAGGTAGCAGTCAATGATGATAACGAAGTTGGCGATCACGATCACGGTCAGGGAGTAGCAGCCAATGTTGGTGAGGAAGTTCAATTTGAGCGAGTAGCAAGCATGTGGACGGAGGAGATAATCGGGTATGTATCCTACACAAATTTTAATTTTAATTTTTCATTTGTGTTATAAATGCTTAATTCTTTACATTTTTTTCCAAAAATCTGAAACTGAAACAGCACATAAAAACACCTGATAAGATTATGTAAAGCTCAAATAATATGAATTAATAAACTCTACAGTGTTTTTGAGTTTTTGATTGACATGTTTGTACTCTTTGGATTGTGATTCTTTTATATTGCACACATCAGTGCTGTATCGTATCGACAGTTCTTAATTTATTTATTTTCTTTTTTATAAATGAAAAATAAATTTAAAAAATCCTTTCAAAAACCTTATGTTGAGGTTTTATTTCATTATATTTTCAGGAACTGCTACAAATTTGTTGTGGTACGTCAAGGGCATAAAGACGAAGTTATTGAAGTGAGCAAGTTTGGGATTGTGGCCTCTATAAAGGACAAGATTGAATGTTTACTTGGGATAAGAGTATCCCAGCAAGTCCTATTCTTCAACGGAGAATATCTTCATGAAGATTGGCGTATAATTCAGAGCATTGAAGGGATTGCATCCAACTCACGCATCCAGCTCTTTGTGTTAGAACCATCGGCCGTGATCCCCACATCAGCCCCTATTGAAGGGTCAGCACCTCCAACTAGATATTCTCTACGACCGCGGCCTCGGCGCTAAACCGATTCGCTTCCATTTGGCCGAAAGTTTGTGTTATATGGGATAAACACCGGCCTTTATGTTTCCTTTAAGTTTAAGTTAAGCGAGAGATAGATTAAGTTATAATTTATGCGAGGGATAATTAAGTTATAATTTATGCAAGCGATAAATTTAGTAAGAAATAGAAGATTGTTTTTTTTTTTTTTTTTTTTTTTTCTTTCTGATTTTACTGAAAAATTTATATGGTCAATTTAATTAAAGTTCACGTTTTCTATTTTTTTTCATAATAAAATTTAATCCTTTTCCCCAAAATAATCCACGGTCCACAACATATTTTTTTCCAATGCATTAAAGTTACATTGTGTCTATTTTTCATTGATAAAAGGGTATTTCCATGGGTTTGCTTTGGTATCGTGTTCATACTGTTGTATTGAATGATCCCGATTGTTTGATTGCTGTCCATATAATGCATATAGCTCTAGTTTTTGGTTGGGCTGGTTCGATGGCTCTATATGAATTAGCATTTTTTGATCCTTTCTGATCTTGTTCTTGATCCAATGTGGAGACAGGGTATGTTCGTTATACCTTGTCATTATGTAATAGGCCCTTGCAACTCTAATAGTCTATACAAAAATTCTTCCGCATATTTACTTCCAACCAAAACCCAATTTTGAAAACGGATGCCATGAAGGATAAAAGTTGCCCATTTCTTATTACTTATTTACAAAACCCTGCCATGTTTGTTATCCAACAATTTTTCCTAAACAATCCCTAATATCTAGCCTTTCCATTATTATGGTGTTGCTTGGACTCAACAAATCAAAACATTCTCATAATACATATAATATATGTTCGTTCATAAATAATATATATATATAGCTATACATATAAACCATAATTACATATAATAATATATGTTTCGTAGTATTTATATTGGATAACATATAATACCTAGATCCTAATCGTAAGTACATTAAAATTAATGTAGGTATATTGGATGTTGTATAATGTAGGTATATTGGAATAGATAATTATGTACACTTTTTATAAATTAAAAACAGGTACACTTTTCATACTAGGTAAATTATACTTTTCATAAAACATACAAGTAATAGGTACATTATTTGTTCAACATAATTAGTATGTACAGTATTATTCATAAACAATTATAAAGTAGATGATTAGTCATGTATAATTCATAAAAAGAAAATAACATAAACAATTTTTTAAAACAAACCGATTGCCTAAATCTGAATTTATTGTTAAATTTAAAAAATAAAAAATAAAAGTTTCCAAATTAATTCCTACATCCATTACAACCATTTGGATATCTTTCCAACATCTGTCATTATATACAATCCAATTCAAAACTGTTTCCATATTGATTCCTACATTAATATTCAAAATGCAATAATCTACATTAATATACAAAATGCAATAATGTAGTTAGGGGTATTTTTGGAATATGAAAAGTACAATAAATCAGATTTTATGCTTAATTAGGTAACTTGCTGAGTTGGATCCTAGTCATGGGTTTTTACTTATACAAATTGGGTATTATATATAGGAACAAAAAGTGAAGGATTGTAGATACGACAAATTGAATTTGAAGGATGTAAGCCAGATTTACTATAAAACGAAAACAAAAGGATACATGAAAATAACTAAGTTCGTTGTCAAATAGTCACTCTTCATTAACTTACTTGATTATTTTAGAGCAATTCATGGAAATAATATTGTTTTGAATAAGAAAATTGAGTTATAGGTGTTAAGCTAACGATGCAAAAGTGACTTAGTCACAAAGGTGTGGTGTTGTCCCCAGGCTAGTCACAATCATATTCTTTGCTGGAACTGGTTTTCTTGACTTTGGCTTCTAAGTTTTCGTGCGAAACCTTCTTGGATTGAACTTTAGTCCTTTTTCATGCAGCAACACCTTTACATCTGACAGCCACTAAAAACCAGCCAATACAACAACCGCGTTCTGGTCACGCGTTTCTAACCAAGTCCAACTTGCTACGTATAATATTTCCTTCCATCCCAACCACAAAATCTGCACCGTCCAAACCCCTTTACAAATTTCTCAAAGTCGACGGTGATCTATTCTCCAAACTCTCCTTAGCCCTCCACCTATAAAAAGCCCTCTCCCTTCTCTCCTTAAACCCATCCTTCGCTTCTTAATCTTGATCTGCCTGTCTGTTAAACCCTATCACTTTCCCTGTCTTCATTCGCTCTTCTACAATGGCTCGATCCAACGCTGTCGTTTTGGGTGCTAATGGCTGCCCTCTTGGTGGCCTCAACAAGGGCACAATCCCCTGCATCTTCCCCAGCCAAGTCCCCTGCCTCTGCCCCTTCTCCTTTGAGCACTCCACCCGCCGCCGCTCCTTCTCCTTTGAGCACTCCACCCGCTGCATCACCTTCTCCTTTGAGTACCTCACCTTCTCCTTCGGGCACTCCACCCTCGGCTGCTCCTTCTACATCTCCGGTCGCAGACTCTCCACCTTCTCCCCCATCGTCTTCTCCTGAATCTCCGGCCACCTCTCCCCCTTCTTCGGTCTCAGGATCACCCGCCGAAGCTCCTGCATCCAACGGTGCCGTTTTAAACAGGTTCTCCTTAGTGGGATCCGTGGCCGTTGGGGTTTTCGCTGCCTCCATGCTTATGTAAAGAGGGAAAGTACAGCGGGCGCTTTATGAATTTTAATCATTTGCTTTATTGTATTTAATTTACCATCTGATTCATTCATTCATTTTGTAGTTGTTGATATATATGGGAATAAAAAGAGACATTTTTCAGTCATGAGAATTGCAATCTAATTTTTCTTTATTTTATATTAAAAATTATATAATTTTGTGTTTGCAAAAATATTTTAATGCACGTGAAAGAAATCGAGCTCAGGTCTAACTTACAGGCAAAAGTTGGCCCATTGGCTTTTGCACCAGCTATTGCTAACCCCTGTTATTGGATATGTCTATGAATTCTCAAGAAATTGAGGTTCAATCTTCATTCATCCAAACCATCTTCAAGCTCAAGATTGAAGATCAATTCCATTTTGTCGTTTTGAATTAGCAAAACCAGTTGTTGATAGGTTTGTCATTTGGGCATTGGAAGATCAATCTTCACCCTCAAGTTTTTTACCAAAAAAAAAAAAAGAAAAGGAAATCGTCATGCTCAAGAGTCAACTTTAAACAGAGCTTCTTCAACCTTTTTCGCAAGACTGTTGAAGGAAACCTTGATTTTCTCTCTCCTATAGATATTGAGATGGCGACACAATTTCCAGATGATGCATGTGGGTTGGGCCGTTTTGTCTCTCCCAAATATTGATCGAAAGATATTGATGTACAAACGATGGGTTCGTTAAATGTACCTGATGGAGGGATCCACCAGTATGGGAACAAGAACAAGGTTATTTAACAATAATGAATTGTTCTTTTTGTCAATAACGAATCTTGTTTTGGTCAATGATGATTTTTTTTTTTTTTTTTTTTTTTTTGGGGAGAGAAATAGTATTTTATTGAAGAGAGAATAAATAACTAATACAAAAATCATTAGGCTATGTCATTTGGGATTAGGCAAGTGTCTTCACACCAATGGGTTCGGTCATCTATCTAACTAAATAGCCTTATCATCCTCTCAACCGCAAGTGGGAGTGGGAACCTTGCCTCCAATAGAGTACCCCTCATCCCCCTCAGATCATGCCTGTAAAAAGTATTGGTTACAATCTTCAAATAATAGGTCAACAATGATGGTTCTTCAAACCAAATGATAATAGTGCCAATATTTTATTGATATGCCAACTTTTCAGTCATTAGATTAAATTTAAATGGCATCATTAGTTAATAGATTTCTTAACATAAAAGAGAATTTACTTGAATTAATAATTAAAGGGTACTTTATGAATTATGGTGGGTGGAAAGATAGGATTGTGTTTTTCCAAATTTATAGAGTGGGTTGGAAGATAAGGTGGAAATAGCAGCATTATTTCTCATGCCTAGACTTAGAGCACTTCCACCCATTTGACATGGCAAAAGGCAATGGTAGTTACTATTCACATGAGATATGATGAGAGTAATTTGTATGGATTTTGGTGTGGGAAGTGAAGAATATGGTTAGGTATTTATCGAAAAAAAATTCTCAAATTTTTTTTTCAACTTTTTTGGTATTTAGATTGGTCGTTGACGTCAACTTGCCCATACAAGTCTTGTCTTTAGGCTTGCCCAGTTTACAGGGCCCACTCTTGCCATGACAATTCTTCCTTTATGGATGTGGTTTTGGAGCCTAAGCCCCTTTTTGCCATGGCAAAAAGGAATAGGTGAAAGTGCTCTTACCAAGCATGGGAAATCAAATCCCAAATCCCATTTTCTATGAACCAAATGCCCCTAAGAATTCATAGAATTAAGGCTTCATTATTGATATGGTCCTTGTGCTTCACCGAAAATCTCACTTTGCTCCCTACATTTCAAAGTGAGTCAATATGCCCCATGTGCTTTATTTTTGAGTCCCCCATTACCTCATTTCATTAATTTTTGTCAGTAAAACCGTTAACTTGTTGACGTGACATAAGAATTTTAGTCATAGGTATTTTAGTAATCTTAGCTATTAAAAATTCTCAAAATTTTAAAACATTTTAATAATAAAATAAATTAGGAAAAAATAAATCCCCCAACACCCAAATAGCGCCCCGCCCCCCCCCCACCACAACCCCCCATCACCAACAACCACCCCCAACCCATGCTTACCATTCCCTCCCCATCTTGCCACCTTGATTTCTCCTCCACCATGGTAAAAAAATCAATAACAAAATAAAGTTCTTCAATATGAGTTTACTATTTATAAACTCCAATCGCATAACCATCATGGCTGCACAGAGAATATGTGAAAATCACAAGCATGAAATCAAATCAAACCTAGTTGGAGAAGATAAAAGAAGTTACGCCTTGGGGTTTTGGCGTTTGGGTAATTTGTTGGGATGGCTACGGCTTGGGGCTGATTGGATTTGTGAGGTCGAATGTGGATTTGGGGTGTTAGCTCAGGGTGAGTATGGCTGGGGGGTTGAACAATGGCTTGGGGTGGATGCATCACCTGGGTGGGGACATCATATTTGAACAATGGTGGAGTGGTGGCCATAGGTTGGGGGCGGAGGGTGGCTAGTGGTGATGGGGGAAGGGTTGGGTTGTTGTGGTGGTGGGGCTATTCGGGTGCTAGGGGCTTAAATGTTTTTTTTTTAAAAAGAACTTTCTAATTATTAAAATGTTTTAAACAGTTTTTAAAAATTTAATTTAAAATTTGAAAATTTTTAATAGCTAAAATATCTAAAGGGAGCTTTAGTTTTAAAACACAATATAGTTTACTAATTTGGAAGATATGAATACAATTTCATCTCATTGGCATAAGGCCAAAGACCAAAATGTAGTACTTAATTTTACAAAAAAATCATTTAAAAAAATCAAAATTACACAAAATGTCATTCCTTCTAAGGCAAGCATTTTATGCCACATGTCCATATATCCAGCCAACCGCCACCGCCGAACTCCCACTGATGGCCAACAACTGCTAGCCACTCGCCGCCGGCCAACCACCGTCGCCTGTCACCGGCCTGCCACCGTCTGCAGGAGACCAACTCCGTTGCCCTTTATTCACCTTTAAAAAAAAAAGATTTTGTGTCATTGAAGGAACTCGAACCTTGACCCTCAAAGGAGGAAGGCTCACTCAGAAACCACTACACCAAACTTGATTTTGTAATATTTATTCAGTTATACAATATTTATATAAACAATCAACGGTCTTAAAAAATAATAATAATAATTTCAACACATATTCACACAAAAACTGTAAATAAAAACAGAAACTGCAACAAAAATACAATGTAGATATCAATTACGTTAAAAAACAAAACAAAAAACAAAAAACAAAAACAAAAATTAATTTTATTGAAGCAAAATGGAGGAACCTAGATCAAAGTACTAATGGAAACTGCAATGTAGAAGCGAAAACTGCAATGCATAAACGGAAACTGCAATACAAAAATGGAAGGCCAAAGAAAGAGGAAAAATCCAATTGTAATTAAATGAAAACTGCAATGCAGTTTCCAAAAGTCCAATTTTGAGTTCCCTTGCTCTTGGGTAGTTTTACTCTTCTCTTGCCCACCTAATTCCTCATTTGGGTAGTCTCTACTCTTCAAATTGGTGAGGTTGAAGGTCAAGGAAAGAGCAAAAATCCAATTGTAATTAAATTCCAAAAGTCCAATTTTGAGTTCCCTTGCTCTTGGGTGTTCAACTCTTCTCTTGCCCACCCAATTCTTCATCTGGGTAGCATCTACTCTTCAAATTGGTGAGGTTGAAGGCCAATGAAAGAGCAAAAATTCAATTGTAATTAAATGAAAACTGCAATGCAGTTTCCAAAAGTTCAATTGTATAAAATTTCCTGAACTAAAGAGAGCCTTATGACATAAAGTAGATTGCTCTGGGAAAATTTGATACAGGTTCTTCAAATTCAGCACTATGTCTATCAGGGAAAGGTTAATTTGGGTTTGCTCAGCAAGGTGTCAATGATGGTTCAGGGAATTTTACAAGTGAATTTGCTTGGTTTCAAGTCTCGTTTTTTGGAAATCAAATCCATACTACAGAATTGAAATAAGATCAAGATAAAATCCATAGCAATTGCACATCTTCTAGTTCCCCACCCTACCCCAACCAAAACACACACAGGGAGAGTACACGGATTCTCACCTTCTTAATGCAGTTCCTTTTTTCTCAACTAGATTTAGTTTTCCATATACAAATTAGCCCACAATACAAGAAGCTAGTAAGAGAAAGATTGTAATAACTAACCACAGGTGTCCAAGGCCTACTTTAATTCTTTTTTCTCCAACAAATGCTAGCTAGTCTTAGTTGTATCAAGTTCTATTCAGTTTAGATCATAGGCACTATCACAATTATAAAATCCTTCAAATTTCCTTTATTTCACAGATTGAAAGGTCTTGGTCAGGATGCCAAATTGATGATGCATTCTGTCCTTCAATCTCACAAAGAAGACAAAGGCTTAGTAAATAATTATAAATAATTTTTTTTTGTAAAGAAAGGTTTCTCAGAATGATTACTTTATACTAACCACAGGTGAAAATTTCCAATTCAGAAAAAGAAGTTCACATGAAATTTTCCCATGGGAAATGATAATGCAAAAGTGACTACCAGACTGTGATCCTACTGTAGTCTGCAATTCTTTGTTGAAGTTGGCTCCACCATCCAGCCTAGCATTAGCTTGTGACTGCGTAGCTCCATTTCATGACCATACTATCATGATGATCCGCCAAAGATGATGCTGAAGCACTTTCACCTGATGATGAACTGTTTCCCCACTCAACGCCACCAAGGTTGGGCGTAGATAGCTGATTCCAGCACAATCTGGGCACCATGTTCTATATGTGGATCTTCATCTTTAGATTTAGCTGGCATCATTCACCACTTTCTCCTGGAAAAATATAACCATGAGTTTTAACATAAAACAAAATAAAGTAAGGAAGATGAGGAAAGAAACCAAAACCAACTACTGATCAACAGTCATTGCATAGAACAGAAAAACACTATGATAAGTAAATCTGCTTAGGCGCATCCGAGCTTTATGAATTCGCCGGCATCGATCCTCCGATTGTTCTCCATGGACCAGAAAACGCCTTCTCTGCCGGCAATCGTGATGCCAGGACGAGCCATTGGCTTTTAACAAAATAAAATTTAAAACTCATCCCCCATATGCAAAACGAAAATAGGTAATGTATCATATGCTAGTTACTAAAGTTTTTTGTCACTATACACAAATTTTTCAATACTCATACCACGTAAATAAGTTAACAATTTTATTGACCAAACTGACGGAATGGGGTAATGGAGAATGCATAAATAAAGCACAGAAGACATATTGACTCTGTTTGAAGTGTAAGGGACAAAGTGAATTTTCGGTGAAGCAAAGGGACACATCGATAATTAAGCCTAAAATTAATCTGGCTGGAAAATTGGTCAACCTTACGCAAACTGGTTTGTTTGACTTGGCTTCAAAGTTCACGTCCGAAAAGGAAACTTCTTGGATTGAAACTTACCTGTACATCCAATAGCCAGTAAAAACCAGCCAATACAACAACCGCGTTCTGGCAAAGTCAGTAACACGGTTTCTAACCAAGTCCAACTACGTGCACAAAATCTGCACCGTCCAAGCCCCTTCAAATCCGCGTCAAACAAATTTCTCAAAATCCAACGGTGATCTATTCACCAAACTCTCCTCAGCCATCCCCTATAAAACGCCCTCTCCCTTCTCTCCTTAAACCCATCCCGCGCTTCTCAATCTGCTTCTTAAACTCCCTTACTTTCTCTTCAACTCTCTCTACAATGGCTCGATCCAACGCTGTCGTTTTTGTGCTAATGGCTACTCTCTTGTTGGCCTCAACAAGGGCACAATCCCCTGCATCTTCCCCAGCCAAGTCCCCTGCCTCTGCCCCTTCTCCTTTGAGCACTCCACCTGCCGCCGCTCCTTCTCCTTTGAGCACTCCACCAGCTGCTTCACCTTCTCCTTCGGGCACTCCACCCTCGACTGCTCCTTCTAAATCTCCCGTCACAGACTCTCCACCTTCTCCCCCATCGTCTTCCCCTGAATCTCCGGCCACCTCTCCCACATCTTCGGGATCGCCCGTCGAAGCTCCTACAACCAACGGTGCCGTTTTGAACAGGTTCTCCCTTGCCGGATCTGTGGCCGTTGGGGTTTTCGCTGTCGCCATGCTTATGTAAAGAGGAGAAGAATAGCGGGTGTTTTATGAATTTTTAGTCATTGTTTTCATTTACCATTTGATTAATTCATTCCTTTTGTATTTGTTGATATATACATATGTGGGGATATAAAGAGACATTTTTCGTCATTTCATTGGTTATTGGGTATGGTTATGAATTTTCAAGAATTGAAGATCAATATCTTCATCCGTCTGAAAAATCTTGAAACTTTAGATTGAAAAGTTCACTCTGTATGAGGAAAACTTTATTGATGAACTTGAAAATTACAACCGGGACTTAAAACCCGATCTCCGGTTTATAGAATCATAAAATAGAAGAACCTAAATAACATCAGATGTACCTCAAACCAACTAAATAAATCGTCATTATAAGCTGGTAAAATTGTAGAAAATGGTAAAGAATAAAGAATTGAATTTTGATATAAGATTCAACCATTAATATGGGAGAAATCTTGCACAAGTTTGCCTCGCTAGAGATGGAAAATGAGATCTAGCACTTGAAAAGGAGCTTGATGCTGCGTGCTATTGAAGGTCAAGATCTTGTGGAAGAACTTATAGTCAAGCTAGTTTGTGGTGGGTTTAGTTAGGCAAGTTATTGTATTGTGCCGATCGGACCTGTTTGTGGCCTTAATAAGGGAGAGTTGGATTACATTTGTAGTTCGAAGAGGTTGTTTGTGCCTTACCATTAGGTTGGGCAAGATCATGCGGCATCAACTAGAGCCAGTATTTACTGTTGCATAAAAAAGAAGTATAATATCATGCCAGGTCCCTAGTGGTTTGATTACAAATCCATTCAATCTAGTAATCGTTTTGTATTGCTAACAATGACACATTCGCAAATTATACAATTTTCTAGATCAAATGTCTTCATTAGGGGAATTATATAAGTTTTAACGAGATCACGTTGTAGAACTTCTAGTTATACCGTGTTGTTTGGTTCCTAGTTGAACAAAAGTTCTTTCTTTTGACAAAAAAGAAAAGAAAGGAAAAAACAACATTAAAGCCCTATCAATGTATTATACTACCCTGGATCACTCCGTAGTCCATGGACACTTAGTAATCCTATCCCTCTCCTTCAAGAGAAACTATCATGCAATGAGATATCATTTTTTTGTTATCTTTGGCTAATAACACAATGACACGTGAGACAATTTTTACACATATCATAGTGTTATTAGCCGACGATAGCAAAACAATGTTATCCCCGTTACAAGTAAGTTTTTTCCCTCTCCGTTAGTTTCTTTTGACCTTTTTTTGTAGAATTCTAGCTTGGGTGCTTACACAATCTCCGTTTTTTTTCTGTCGCCCTTCTGTGGGTGTGCAATGCATTCGTTCTGTAACCGAAAAAAAAGCCCTATCCATGTGTTTTAGGAAATAAATTCAAACCATTCTTTTCCTGTGCAAAAAAGCCCCATCCTCATGTTCCTTCCTTTTTGACTTCGGAAATAAATTACTAGGTTTTGTTTTCAGTCAGTAAATTACTAGGTTGTGTTGCAAAAAGCATTAGCATGTTAATGATGTTTCCAAGTCATTGGTCCCACCCCCAGATTTCCATCCTCTCCTGAACGGATCCCCACAATCCCCTTTCTTTTCTCCTTACTCAGGAGACCAACCTTCCATTTCTGGACTGTTACAAATCCACACCAACCCCAACATCACATCCAACGGCCCACCTCTCGCAACCTCAACCCACGTGTACGATCCAGATTAACAGACAACTGTACCTTAGTGGAGGACCACCAAAGCCAAAAAAGAAACAGACGAACGTTTTAAACTTTGAACCAGCCAGGAACCGTGTCTTTCGCGTCAATACACTCAACACCGTCGGATCTTCTTTAAGAGGATCCAACGGATGCAAAATAAAGACGCATTGACTGCTTTACACTCCTCCTATATATACTCTTTCTTTCTCTTTACTCTCTTTACAGGAACTTCATTCCAGTACCTTCCATCTCTCTCTCTCTCTCTCTCTCTCTCTCTACAATGGCTTCCTCAGGCTCAACCCTCGTCGCTCTGATGCTCGTTGCACTGCTTGTGGGCCACACCATGGCGCAGTCCCAGCTAAATCGCCGGCATTGTCTCCGACCAGATCGCCACCGGCTTCAGCTCCTTCTCCGTCGTCCGCCGCTCCATCGACGCCTAAGGTGAAATCTCCCCCCAGCCCTACTCCGTCGACCGCTGAGTCTCCGGCGAGTTCTCCTTCGTTGATCTCTGCTCCTCCATCTGAAGCGCCTGCGCCTGCGCCGTCGGAGAACGGCGCCGTTTTGAACAGAATTTCTGCCTCCGCGTCCGTGGTGATTGGCCTCTGCGCCGTTGTTTTGGTTATGTAGAAGGGTGAATTGGATATTTTGCTTTTGTTCTGAGCGTGTCTCGTGAGTCGTGATCTTTCGTTTTAATTTTTATTTATTTATTTTGGTTCTGGTTTCAGTTGCGTTGTTAAAACTTATAACTTAATTGTGTGTTGTTAGTTGGTTTGGATAAATTATGAATTATATATTGCTTGTATTAATTTTGTTATTATTATATTTATTATTATTATCCTTTCAATTCTGAATTTTTCTTTGTTCTTTTACTGCGAAATACAAAATTGACGGTACACTTCTTCCCTCAAGTAAAAAAAAACAGATAAATGGTTTCACAAAAAGAAAATGTTGTAAATGTGGCAAAGACTACTTGATTCATGAATCCATCCTTTCCCGATTTTGGAAAATCAAATCAATTTCATAAAACTTTTTTTATTTAAAATTGGAAATATGCACTACTACTAACGGAAGACTTTTGCATTATTTAAGTTTAGACTAATAGTTATCTATAAGTTTATGGATGATTATGGACTTGATTTCGATCTAACATCTAGCCAAGATGTCCCATCTAAGGTCTTTGAAAGGTGATTAATAATTTTGTTACGCATCTTAACTACATAAAACATTCATAGTTGGTTGGGTGTTGGACCCATGAATAATCAAAGTAATTGGACTTTATTATTTCCTTCTCTTGTTTTCAATGTGCCTCCATCTTCCTATTTACAAAACTATTTGAGAATAGAAAACTTCAAGCCCAATGGACTTTAGAGCATTTCCAGCAAGGGGCCTTGGAGGAGGGGGGGAAGCACAAAATGGTGTTTCCAGCAACAAAAATCTGCCAGGGCAAGGTGTGGGCCCCAGCGACCTGGGCTAGCCCTTGGGGAGGTTCGGCCCAAGGAAAAAAAACTCGTTTTGGGCTGACGTCAGCGTGGCTGTTTAAATTTTTTTAAAGTTGGCGCGTGCGCTACAGTGACCTCCCAACGGGTCTATTCCACGTAGCGCTCCCAGTAGCTGTCCGATCCACTTTATTCCAAATCCAACGGCAGCCATTTTTCTGATCTGGGCGCTCCGATTCATTTGTTCTAGTAATCCAACGGCAGCCAATATTCTCCCAAAAAAAAACATGAAAAAAAAATTCGAATTTTTTTTAAAAAAAAACCCAAAAAATACTGATTTTTTTTCCCTATAAATACCAACCAATACTCTTCACTTTTAACACCAACTCTTCATACATTTTCTTCTCCTTCTACCATTATTCACTTTTTAGTCAATATTTTTTTCACTTTGAAGTTACATTTTTCTAGAAAAATTTATGAGTTCTTCTAGTGAAACCGGAGGGGCATGGAGCGTCATGGAAGATGTTAGCTTGTGTGAGTCTTGGCTCCACATTAGTCATTGTCCCGTAACGGGCAATGAGATGAAATTCTGTCATATGTAAGGATTAAAATATCGGCCGTGCAGATAATATCGGGCCTCCAATTTACGGATATTTCGGAGGATATATCGTTATCGTTTTAGGTATCGGAAAAAAATCAACAAAAATGACAGATATAGGCATTGAAACACATAATATTGGTGTAAAACTTTCATAGATGTTATGTACATTATCAATGAATGTATTGAACAAATGAAACTCAAAATTTACTAATAATAAGATATATATATATATATATATGATGAAATATAAGTGGTATGTAATGCGCGTTAATGAAAAGTTCGAAAATAAAATGTTAATTAGAATGAATAAACCATGCATAAATCCGTAGTTTGTTTAAACATTGGATTACAATTTAGATAAGTGTCCATTTACATAAATGAAGAGCTCCTATGAGGTTCAAACAATGAGGAACAACCATCTAGATTCGTACAATAGTCATACCAAGTCATGTAACCCGAGCAGTTTGTAAGCCATGTTTGAACATGGTGCACATAGGTCTCTCTTGAGCTCCCTATTGTCCTCCCATATATGGGATAGTTAGGATTAACCAACTAGTAGGTCCATAATCTTTTTTATCATCTTGAGCTCCATAACTAGTTCCCCTATAATCAGACATGACATAACCATCATAAGATTCATTTGAGTTAGTACTAGGTTTAGTTCCTATGCTCATAGATCAACTGATCGCCATGTCCTCTTCAGATGGATTGGAGGTATATGGGCAGTGGACTGTGCATAGATTCTTCATATTAGTAAATTATAGGGTTTTGGGCAAAGATTAGCTATTTTTGGGTTTCAATTTGCTTCAATTGCCTTCAAAACTTCTAATTTTTTTTGGGGTTTTGTTATGGCTATCGGGAAATATCGGGGATATCGGCAAAATATCGAGGATATCACACTTATCGGGGGATATATCGTCGATATAGGGGAAGATATGGCCTTACCCCCCAGTATCGATGTCAATAGTTGAAAATACCGATATATCGGCAGATATATCGGTGTATCGGCCGATATTTCAATCCTTGGTCATATGTGGAAAAAAATTCATTAGGATTTTTGTGAAAGGGTAATTGGTTCGACCCGTACAGATCAGGCACTATCTAGTAGGTGGAAAATTCTTAACAAAGAGTTGGCGAAATGGAGGGATGCCTTGGCAAAGGCGATGGACAACCATAGAAGCGGGGAAAACCTTACCAGTGAGGTAAATTATTTGTAATTTTTGTTTTATTAATTTCTATGTCATATTAAAGTTTATTTAAATATTTCTTGCAATTATATATTTTGTTAATATTTCTTGTATTTCCAATATTAATATGAATGTTTGTTGCAATATTTAAATTTTGTTTTGCATTTCTAATAAATTGTTAAAGTTTCTTGTATTTCCATTATTATTATTTTTTATACTGTTGTATTGCCAATAATTTTTAAAGTTTCTTGCATTTCCATTTTTTTTTATAGACTATACAAGCACAAATGTTTTTTGGTGCTACTGGGCAAGGAAAAAAAAGTTTCAACCATACCCATTGTTGGGAGGTGGTGAAGAATTGTAAGAAATTCCAAATTATTCCAACGGGTCCGACGGTAGTCTTGAACGAGACGCCACTCCATGAGACACCGGCATCGGATTCACTTATGGATTCCCTGATGAGTCAAGACTCACCTATCGAAAAGGAGCCGAGGCCTATTGGGAGGAAGACGGCGAAGGCGAAGAGAGGGAGTAATTCTACCAAGAATCATCTAAATTTTTGGAGGAACTTTCAAAGATGCAAGCCATGAGAATTGAAATGGACATGAAACAACAAGAGCACGATATGGCAATTGATGTAGAAAATGCAAAAGAAAGGGAGTATGTATGCCAACAAAGGGAGTATGAACACCAAGAAAGAGAGTATGCACGCCAAGAAAAGATTGAAAAAAAGGATCGGGCTACAATGGCCATGGATACAACCCATATGTCCCCTGAAACAAAACAACATTGGAAGCTAGGACGAAGGGATGTTATGAGACGAAGACTTTTTCGTGACGATGGACCTAGCAACATGGATTGGTTAAATGATCAAAACAATTTAGTTTGCTTGCCTTTCATTTCATTGTACCATTAAATTAGTTGCTTGCCTTTCATTTCATTGTATTTTTTTTTGTTTAAAAATTAGTGGTAATTCATGTATTTTATTTTATGAGTTGTATTGATTTTCTTGTAGTGAATGAAGAAAATATTCAACAAAATTCCTTTTTATTCAAAACAATCCATACATAAAAAGCAAACCACAACAAAAGCATAAAAAATAAACAAACCACAACAAAAACATAAAAAAACAACAAAGCAAAACTAAAAATACAACATAAACATAATGCACTAAAAAAACATCTTCACTTCACTTCATTGACCTTCATTGCCTTTCACCGCCCACAAATGCTCCATCAAGTCAACTTGACGGTGTTCATGAATATACGACGATTGCATCTCCGTGTAGCGCTCAATCATACGATGCATGAAAGTACCGTCTCTAACCAACGGATCATGTTGCACTGGTTCTCCATTTGGCCCCAAAGGTTTTTCATAAATTCGTGTTATGGCCGTGTTCATGGGATCTAGTTCATACACTTCATCAACATCGTAATCATACTCGTCTTCCACAATCATGTTGTGGAGGATGATACAAGTCATCATTATACTTCTAAGCACCTCCTCGTCAAATAGACGCGCCGCGCCCCTGATAATAGCCCACCGAGCTTGAAGGATACCAAAGCACCTCTCCACATCTTTTCTGTACCCCTCTTGATAGGCAGCAAAAAAATTTTCCTTTTGTGATTGGGGATGTGGAATTGATTTCACAAATGTTGTCCACCTCGGGTAGATACCATCAGCTAGATAATACCTGTTCTGATAGACGGTATTATTGACTTGATATGTGATATTTGGGCCTTTACCTCTCAAAATATCATTGAACACCGGGGATTGACCTAGGACGTTCAAATCATTTTGAGAGCCGGCAACTCCAAAGAAGGCGTGCCAAACCCATGTATCAAAACCAGCAACTGCTTCGAGGATGATGCTTTTCTGCCCTTTCCGATTCCCATAATCCCCTTGCCAAGCAGCTGGACAATTTTTCCATTGCCAGTGCATGCAGTCAATGCTACCAATCATTCCAGGAAATCCACGAGACTCAGCTTTTTGTAGAAGCCGTTGCAGGTCCCTGGGCGTAGGTCTGCGCAGGTAGTCCCTGGTGTACAGATTTTCCACAGCATCACAAAATCGCACCAAGCTCTCCAAAATAGTGGACTTCCCCATCCGGGCAATCTCATCCACCTGATTAGCAGATGACCCATACGCCAACATTCGTATCACAGCTGTGAACTTTTGCTCGGGAAGCAGCCCCAAATCTCCAGCACAATTTTTCTTTTGAACAAAGTAGTCATCATAATTGCAAATATCATGCATGACTTTATTGAACAAATGGGGTTGCATTCTATATCTTGCTCGAAAATGAACATCAGAGTACAGAGATTGTGGGATAAATAATTTTTCATAAGATTCTTACCCCGAGAATGTCTATGTTTGTCCACATTCGATGCCCGGCTTTCCCGTGAACCACGGCGGCTTTGGTTTTCTTCCTCCAGCAAAGCAACGGCCACACCAAGTTGCTCATCTAGTTCTCTCTGCGCCCTTTTGCTTGCAGCTCTTCTACGCATTCTTGCTCGCCTTTCTCGCTCTTGCCTCTCCAAAACCTCTTTCATGTCTGACATTGAGAATGGAGAATGAAATCTAAAATCTGAGAAATGAAATCTAAAATATGAGAAATGAAGATGTAGAGAAGATATGGTGTGGGAGGTATGAGCTGAGCCTCTGGTTTTATAGAAAAATTTAGGTACATAGAGATGACACATGGCGCAATTTTAGAGGGTCAAAATCTTATCTGAAATTTGAAATTCACATGAAAGTTGGAATTTGAAATTTATCTGGAATTTGAATTTCGAAATGTATCTGAAATTGACATTTTGAATTTATCTGAAATTTGAAATTTGAAATTTATCTGAAATTTGAAACCGAAAATCTTATCTGATATGAATAGTATTAACACGTAGGAACCGAAAAATCTTATCCAAAAATATTATTTAAATTAATTGTTTAAGTAAACAAAGTTGTGAAAAAAACAAAAACATGAATAGTATTTGCCATGGCAAGCCTAAACTGCTGGAAACACACTTCGTTGAGGGGGCTAGAGCAGCCACTATTCACGCGAATAGTAGCTGCCCTAGGGCTCCCCTTGCCATGGCAAGGGGCTAACTGGTGGAAATGCTCTTATGGGAGTTACATTCTTAGGGAGGTAGAAATGACAGTTCAAAATTGAGAAAGGAGAGGTGTGCAAGCCCCTATTTTATTAACAAACCAATAAATCAATCCATTCCACTATATATACTCTTTCTTTCTCTTTACTCTCTTTACAGGAAACTTCATTCCAGTACCTTCCATCTCTCTCTCTCTCTCTCTCTCTCTCTCTCTCTCTCTCTCTCTCTCTCTACAATGGCTTCCTCAAGCTCAACCCTCGTCGCTCTGATGCTCGTTGCACTGCTTGTGGGCCACACCATGACTCAGTCCCCCAGCTAAATCGCTGGCATTGTCTCCGACTAGATCGCCACCGCTTCAGCTCCTTCTCCGTCGTCCGCCGCTCCATCGATGCCTAAGGTGAAATCTCCCCCCAGCCCTACTCCGTCGACCGCTCAGTCTCCGGCGAGTTCTCCTTCCTTGATCTCTGCTCCCCCATCTGAAGCGCTTGCGCCTGCACCGTCGGAGAACGACGCCGTTTTGAATAGACTTTCTGCCTCCGCGTCCGTGGTGATTGGCCTATGCGCCGTCGTTTTGGTTATGTAGAAGGGTGAATTGGATATTTCGCTTTTGTTTTGAGCGTGTCTCGTGAGTCGTGATCTTTCGTTTTAATTTTTATTTATTTATTTTGGTTCTGGTTTCAGTTGCGTTGTTAAAACTTATAACTTAATTATGTGTTGTTAGTTGGTTTGGATAAATTATTTATTATATTATTGCTTGTATTAATTTTGTTGTTATTATGTTTATTATCCTTTCAGTTTTTACTGCGAAATACAAAATTGACGGTACACTTCTTCACTCAATTTTTTTTAAAAAAAAAAAAAAAAAAAAATAAAAAAATAAAAAATAAAAAATAAAAAAGATTTAAATCCCACAAAAAAAAAAAAAAAAAAAAAAAAAAAAAAAAAAAAAAAAGTTTGTAAAAGTGGTTGTGTGAACTAGACGGGGGATGATAGTTGTTATAATGTTTTCGACAAATCAAGGACGAAAAGTTGCTATTAATAACGTAAAAATAAAATTACAATGAAGATCCTTTAGACGTCTCAATATTTCGAAAATCAGAACAAATTTTAAAGACATAGTAAAAGGAAAATTATTCCTATATTTGCTAAGGAATTTGCATTCGTGTATCCTTGTCAAACACTGGCTCCACTTCCATCGCTTTGTAGAATCAGCAAACAATGTATAAATACGTTGTATGATTTGAAAAAAATATTTTGCTTTCCACAAGAGTTTGCAATATCACAAAGTGTTAAATTAAGATTATGACAACCACAAAGTGTTAAATTTAGATACATACCTGAATTTGAATTGAGATTTGATTTTGAGTGGTCTTTATGAATTCAGGAATTAGAGTTTCCTCTTTTTGGTGTTCAAATTCCTGAAATTGTAAAAATAACAGAAATTGTCAAAGGATTGAAAAAAGAAGAGAAATTGATGAACAATGATGATTTCTTACAAGAAAATGAGAGTTTAAGAGAAAGAAGAAGCCATGAAGTTTTTTTCGTTTTGTTTTGAATGAAGAAAGTACTTTTCTTGGAGGAGAAAACCTTTTTTATTTTATTTAAAAGGCTTTCTATTTGGGGGATATATATATACTCCTCCTTTGGTGTGGTTGTGCAAATATCCAAACGCAATTGTGCAAATATCCAAACGCTATGCTATATATACGATTGATATAATATTATATATATATATATATATAATATAAAGATTTTTTTTTTCAGGGGCCCTGTGCGGTGGCGCCACTTGCACCACCCCAGGGCCGCCCTTGCGTCTAAGTAAACCTAATGTCATAAGAAGCAGTCCAATGAACCCATGAAGAAGACCCACTGCTAATAACATCGATGCGTTTTATATGAAACCCTCACACCTCCCATACTTTGCAGATGGTTATGTTGGGGACAGTGTCGATGTTGATAGTAGTGGAATATTGGTGTTGGAAATATGCCGTAAAGCTAAACATGTGATGGAATTTTCTGAATATTTCAATACTTTTATAGTTAACCATACCAGAAGATACGTCGATTTAGTTAATAGTGTCATTCATAGTTATTTACCTAAACGAAAAGTTCATGTCGTGTGAGATGAGGATGGTGATCTAAAAAAGTTGGGTCCTGGAGACCTTTCCCTAACTCACACCCTAAATAGTTCCTAGTCATAGAATCGTCAATTTGGTATTGACGATCTATAAAATTCGGCGTACACTATCTGCTCAATTGAGAGAATGACTAGTCTCAAATTATTCGTGTGATGACACTAATATAACCGTATGGTGCTCTTATACAAAAAGAAAAGTTTAAGATACGGGTACTTTCAGTTTTTTGGTATGTGTCCTATTCCAAATTATTACTTCTTTCATTAAGCCTTTAAAATTGTAAAACAGGTTGTTTAATGAGGCCTTGAAGGATTGGTCTCTTCCGCACACACGTAGCTTAAGAAAAGAAACCACAATTATGAAATATGGAGCTTTGTTGAATTTCTAGGACCTGAATAAAGTAAAGAACTGCAACATAGGATTCGTAATCCTTTCATTAACTTAATTTTGTAAGATTGTTAAGGGCACGAGGAAGAACATGTGTGAAACAATGTGATTGAGTAACACATATATAAACAAATCACGCAACGACACACAAATTGCTAATTTGGTTGACTCAATAACAACAACAATAAGCTAGATCCCCATGTATCTATGAGATTCTCATTATATAAAGTAAAAACCTTCCTCTCTATCCAAGGATCCAGCACCAGATTCTTGATCTCTGGCGAACTTGAATGTGCTTCTCCTCCAGACAGTATATAATAAAATATGTAGTTTTGTTTTTGCACGTTGGTTTTCTAGCTATTGGTTTTTTAGTGTATATAATAATGATTGCACACTCTCAAACCACAACAATTAGAAACCAAAACTAATTCAAATTTAAATAGAAAGGATATGTTTGATCCTTTTAATTTAAATTCAGCTATGCCAAAAATGAAAAATAATTTAATGATTTTATTGGTGGGTGTCTTAACTAAATTTCCCCAGAGCCCAAAGTCCAGTTCTTTGATAATAATAATAATAATTTATTAATTATTTTTATTTATGCCCAAATCCAAAGCTAACCGTATAAGCCCCAAGAAGCCTAACACTCCAAAGTCAAACTATCAAAAAGCTTTGTTTATAAAGGCTTTGAAAAACTGAGGGTCCGTTTTCAGTTTTCATTTTAAAGAAAACTAACCTCTAATACACTTACAAGATGTAACACTAACCTCTAATACACTTACAAGATGTTAAGCCTTAAACGAGAATGAGGTTTATACTTGCAAGCAACAAGCTACGCGTTTATATACTACACAAGCTACCCTCTTTCTTTTTCATTTTTTTCTTTCGTTGAAAGGATCTCTACAAAACCCACGTCATCCCTTGGCGTGTGAGGACAGATTCCAGTGTTTTGCCCGCAAACATCATCAAACGTAAATGGCATGGAAAGTAGGTACACAAATAGCTTCAATGTCTCAAATTCCATATTAAAAATATAATCACAAAACTATCATATATACATGATTTGGAGCCGCCGTCGCTGAATATTCAGAGACCTTAATTCTACATCTCAAATATACAGGTGATTATTATTGGGGGTGGAAATTGATGAATATGCCTAAGAAAGATTTGTGGGGTTCTTTCAGATTGAGAAGCTTTCTTCAACTACTCTCTGGCAATCGATCTAGCTCTACAAATGCGTCGCAGGGACAGTTCCCAGCTATGGGAGTATCTAAGGTTGCCCATGGCTATTCGATGCCGCAAAGTCTTCGACTTTTCAGCACCAACAGCAGACCATGGATAAAACTTGATACCAAAGTGTAAGAAAACTAACTGCGTTTTGAATGGTCTCCAGTTATACTATGATCTCCTGGATTAATTGGTTTTCTCTTCGGATTGAAAGAAAAGAAAATATGCTTTCTGATCTAAAAAAAGAAGAGAAAATATGTTCTGCTACTTGATAATATTTTGCTCCATATATTTTAGGTTAAATGGTGGAGAGGACAAGGTTCAACAATCACACCAAGCTACTTCCACTAGGCTCAATTTCGCCCACTGGTATGAATTCAGTCACATGACTTTCCTTTGAATGTTTTTTTTTAATTTACAAAAAGTATATTGGGAATTTGTTGGAAGTTTTTGGAGCAAAAAAACATGGCTTGGCCTGCATGCAGGTTCAAATGGATGTTGGGATCCATATTATCACTAATGCTGCCTTTTTGGGCTCAGAATTGGGGAAAACTGAAGAGGATTGAAGGTAGGCAAAATCTCCTTCATTTCATTACAGTCATATATAAATTATTAGAATACAGGATTCCTGATAAAAGAATTGGGAAATTCTTTATGTTTTATATAGGAAAGGCAGAAATTGTAATGGAAGAGGTTGAGACTGTGGCAGAGGTAGTAGAAAAAGTGGCAAATGTGGCTGAGAAGGTGTCGGCGGACGTCGCAGATGAGCTCCCTGATAATAGCAAACTAAAGGAAACAGTTTTGCTGGTAGAACGGGCATCAAAAGTGGCTGCTCAAGATGCTCAACTAACACAAGATTTAATTCACAAGGTCTTCTTATGGCCATTTCCACCACCATATGAAGTTTATATACCTTTTTTTTAAAAAAAAACTACGTAACCTTGACTGATGTATTTATATCCGTTCAAACATAGGTGGAAATACTGAAGCAAGACCTGGGAGACTTGGAGACGCTAGCGGAGCCCGTTGTTGAGAAGATTGCGAAGCGAGTGATATAAACATTTGTTGATGAATAAAATTGTTTCCGTTTGTTGAAAAAGAAAGGGAAATGCTAGGGCGACTGCATTGTATATCATCTCTCTAATATGTACATAAATGTGATTTTTCTAGCATTACTTAAAAGAAAATTAGAAATTAGAAAACTACTCGCAAAAACAAAATGGAAACGTCAAATGCTTGTACATTTATCAATTATACGTCAATTACTTGAAAACAGAAGAGTTCAACATGTTCATGTAATGCAGTTTAGCCTAACATCTAGGGATCTTTAGGAATTTGAACTTCTTGTGTAGACTTGATTATGACATGAACAACCTTTGCTTGCCAAAAAAAGACCCCTAAAAACTAACTTCGAGTACTGAGTTTACAGACGAATTATATAGGAGAATTGTCAATTTAGAAACAGTACATTTACGATTTCCCCGTCCAGAATTTTCCTGACTGAACCAAAAAAAAAAAAAAAAAAAAAAAAAAAAAAAAAAAAAAAAAAAAAAAAATTGAAGTTGGAGGAGGAAGATAAGAAAAAAAATAATGCCCCCACCGAGACGGGGGTGTTATCGGAAATTGCCCACCCAGAAAACTTATTGGGGGGAAAATATAGGACTAGAGACTTGCAAAAATTTCTTCCATTTAAATCTACAATGCATATGTATACTTTCTTCCATTAAAATTTTTTCTATTAAAATGCATCATGTAGGAGGATGTCAGTCATTTTACAAAATCATTTTTGTTAATGTTGCTGAAAATATATATTATAATTAAAAAGTAGAACAAAATTCTAATGTTTTAAAACAAATCTGAAATTATCTTTTAGAAAACTAAACAAAACCCCCAAATTAGTCCACCGCATATCAAACCACTCATCCCACTTACACCAGCAAAACCCATCCACCCCTTCCCAACTTCCCATCGCACTAACCCCATCAACCCACCCCTATCCCCAATTCACGACTACTTCCTCCTCCTTCCCTCTCCTTTTCTACTAATCATCTTCTACAATTAACACCAGAAGCAAAATTTTCAGTAAATTGCCCACAATCTTGGTTATCATCAGTCACACACCAATTAGGCTGCATCATCATTGCATCCATCCGCACATGAGTTTTTAGTTTTTGCTCGCCCATATTGGGATTTTCTCAGCCATTGAGGTGGGAGTGGGTTAAGCTTGCCCCCATTGCCCTTCCCTCTTCTCTCTTAGAGGACTTTTGTCAATACCTTGCCCCCATTACAGCAAAATGAAACAGAATTTTAATGGAATTTATGGGACTTCATGGGTAAGGAAGCAGGGGTGAGTACATGCAATAGCCTACACTCGCCCTTAGATGGATCCGCCACTGATAGGAGAGACGTGTTTAGCGTCATAACCAATCAACCTGACCAGAAGAAGTTCACATGTCAACAAGTGTTTTTTTGTTGTTGTCAAAAGACATGACAACAAGTTGATCCTCAATATTGTTCCCAAAAGCACTTAAGCTATTAAGAAATGAGCAAAACAATATATTAAACCTAACGCCTGACGTGTAATGATCCATTTGGAGAGGCAGACCAATGTATATTACTTATTGAACTCCATTTGGAGTAGTGAAGATGCATAATTCCTGGACGCTGATCATAACTTAAGTAAAAGACCTAATTGATTTTTTGGGAAATTTTGCTTGGAGGTGAGGGGTATGTACTCTAGTTCTTAGTATTCGATTCTTTTCATGAGACATTATATTCAGAAATTGTCATTCTTCAAGCCAAGCATATGTGTTAATATTTGATGCCCATTACATAACTTCATACACATATGTGACATTTGAGTGTAAGCTTAGGATTCCGAGAGAAAATTATAGAGTGATATCCGTGAGGATTAGAGTCAAGGCGAAATAATTCCATGGCGTTCGAGTGTGGTTTTTTTAAGCTTTGATGTTATAGGTTTTGGTACTACACGTTACACCATGATGCAATTTACTCAAAGTGGCATAGCTTTAGTGATGCAAATGTGATTGGCATGCATTGGTTTTTATTAGCTTGTTTAAAGTGGTTTAGTTAGCTTTTCGTTTTATTTCTAATTTTGCTTGAGGACTAGCAAAAGATAGGTTTGAGGTAGTTTGATAATTGCATTATTTCCTATATTGTTATACCTCTTATTTGGTTTTTGTAGGGAAAGTTAATTAAAAATAGCATTATTTCCTTACTTTCCTTATTTTCAGTTATTCTGTGCTCTTGGAAGGGTTTTGACTAAAAATCGGCTTTTTGAATGAATTTTAGCGCAAGGCCAATTGGAGAAGAAAGCTAAGACATTGATGATAATTTTGTAAATGTTTCATAATTTTATACCAAGCCAAATGCTCCAAACTTGGAAGTCAAGACAGCCTAAGTTGAAATCCTGTAAGAACATTACTGCTGTGGAAGATTGAAGATTTGAAGACTTTTCCAATTTTTCCTAGTGGCGTGTGATATATTCTTGAAAAGCTTAGAGATCAAGCTACATTTTTATATTTTGCAAGAATTTTCTTGGAAGTGGAAAGACCCCAAAATGTGCGTGCAAGTTGGCTAACGTGTTTTCAAGTCAAAAAGGATTCTTTCCTAGTTTGTTTCCTTAATTGTTTGGGATTTTGTTTTGCTTTAAGAGAGTTTTTCTAGACCTTTTTATAGTAGGGTTTAGTTGTTTTACACTGTATAAGGTCACCCTAAGCTCTCTCTATGGACCATCTTGATACCATATACTTTTTCACCATATTTCAATACACCCACAAATATATCAGAGAGAGAGTCAAGAGTTGCTACTGCGGTGCTTTTCGAGCTTACGAAGGTGTTGCTGTGGAGAAATCAGAAATCAAATCCATCTGCCAAATCAGTTTTATGACAACAATTATGTTGTTTATCTTTTCTTTTGTCATGAAATAATTTTCCTTGCTAGAGCTATGATGTAGTCTAACTATGAATACTTAATTTTTATAGTTAAATTAATTTCTGATTACTATTCCATGTTGAGTATTTGTTACTGTTCTTAATGCTTTGAATATCTGGCTAGACACGTCATTCTTATGGCTGCTGCAGATTGGACACAAGCTAATCTTTAAAAAACTAGAAAACCCACCTGCTCTCTTGTTGGGCTCTCTTGGCAGTACCCAAATATGAAGGAGTGATTAAAATCAATATTGATGTGTGCAGAAAAGGTGAGGATGGACGCATTGTTGTTGGGGGTGTACTAAGAGATAGTTCTGGGCAGTGGATTGAGGCTTTGCCGTTAATCTTGGTGTAGGACAAGTCTTAGAAGGTGAGTTATGGGGCATTTATCTTGGACTGAAAATTGCTTGGGATATGGGTTGCAGTGAAATTGTGCTTGAGTATGAGTTAGCGATTGCATTACACCTGCGTACTAAAGATGTGGAATACCTTCATCCTCTTGCTGCTATGTTGTGGGGATGCCAAGACTATATGGACAGAAATTGGTATTGTTCTATTCATCATGTATATTGTGAGTGCAATATGGTGGCAGATAGATAAGCTGAATTGGGTTCATGTCTTGAGTTGGGTTTGTCAACCTTCCATGATCCTTCAGATAGTATTCGGTCTTTTCTTAGTGAAGATTTACTTGGAGTTTGTAAGCCTCGAGCCATTGTTTAATTTCTTTGTTAGGTGTTAGCCCTTTTCTTCACCAAAAAAATAATATCTTGCCAATATTTAATGGATTTGATGATCTAAGCACAGACTGAGAGGAGATGTTTGGTGTTTGCTTCTCATAACAAATACTATGTCTTGAATGAGTGTCCCAAAGACAAACATGGTTCACGCAGTTTTCTTATAGGTTCTCATAGAACTTAATGGGTTCTTGTGATTTTTTAAATTCGTTGCTCGAGAGAGAATGAGTTATTAATTAACAATACTTTTGGTTGAGCCTGATAGGGGATATCGAATGAATTAGGAGCAACAAACTGTCAATATGGGTAATAATTAGGGTTAATTGGCTATAAGAATTAATTGGAATTGGTTATGGTGAAATCGAATGCTCTAGTGTCTCATCAACTTGATTTTTCACCGTTAATTAAATTACTTTTTCATATTTGTTTTAATTTAGTTTAATAAATCAATTACTATCATTAATGAATTTTTCAAATACACTTTTGAATTAATTAATCATAATTGGTACTTAAAAGGAAATTGCAGTCTTCGTGGGAATGACACTTCACTTATCTCTATATTACTTATGCGGATTGTGAGCTTGCAATAATTTCACAACAGCAGCGGCGCCAAAAACTACTTGTGAAATTATTGCAAGCGCACAATCCGCAGAAGCAACATAGAGACAAGTGAGGTGTCGTTCTCACGAAGACTGTAATTTCCTTTTAACTACCAATTATGATTAATTCAGAAGTTTATTTGAACAATTGATTAATGAGAGTGAATGATTTATTAAACTAAATTAAAGCATAATGAAAATAGCAATTTAATTACCGGTGGAAAATCAAGTTGATGAGACACTAGAGCATCCGATTTCACCATAACTAATTCCACTTAATTCTTATAGCCAATTAACCTTAATTTTTACCCATTGACAATTGGTTTCTCCTAATTCATTCAATATCCCCTCTCGGGCTCAACCAAAAGTATTCTCAATTAACAACCGATTCTCTCTCGAGCAACGAATTTATAAAATTAAGAACCCATTAAGTCTATGAGAACCTAAAAGAAAACTGCATGTCTCATGTTAGTCCCTCTCGGGCACTCATTCAAGACACGATATTGGTTACGAGAAGCAAACACCAAACATCTCCTCTTAGTCTCCGTTTGGATCATCAAACACCAAATATTAGCTAGATATTTAAAGCATTAAGAATAGTAACAAATACTCAACATGGAATGGTAATAAAAAAATTAATATAACTATAAAAATTAAGTATTCATGGTTATGCTACATCGTAGCCCTAACAAGGAAAATTAGTTCATGACAAAAGCAAAGATAAACAAGAAAATTATTGTCATAAAACCAATTTGGCCGATGGATTTGATATCTGGATTCTCCATAGTAACACCTTCGTAAGCTCCAGCACCGCGGGCAGCAACTCTTGGCTCTATCTCTGATATATTTGTGGGTGTATTGAACTATGGTGAAAAAGTATAGTGTATTGAACTATGGTGAAAAAGTATAGTGTATATGGTCGTCTTAGAGAAAGCTTAGAGTGGCCTTATATAGTGTAAAACAACTAAACGCTACTCTAAAAAGGTCTAGAAAACTCTCCTAAAGCAAAACAAAATCATAAAAATTAAGGAAACAAACTAGGAAAGAATCCTTCTTTGAGTTGGAAACACGTTAGCCAATATTTTACGCACATTTTGGGGTCGTTTTACTTCCTAGAAAATTCTGGAAAAATATGACAAACGTAGCTTGATCTCTAAGCTTTCCAAGCATCAATTACACTAGAAAAAATTGAAAAAGTGTTCAACTTGTCAATCTTCCACGGCAATGTAGTTTTGACAAGATTTCACTTAGGTTGCATGTCTGGAGCAATTGGATTGATAGAAAAGTATGAAACTTTGACACAATGATCTTCAATGTTTTTTTCTTTCTTCTCCAATTGAAAGTCATTCGAAAAGTCGATTTTCAGTCGAAATCCTTCCAAGAGCGCTGAATAGCTAAAAATACGGAAAGTAAGGTAATAATGCTCTTTTTAATTAACTTCCCTTACAAAACCAAATATAAGAGGAATAAAAATATAGGAAATAATGCACTTATCAGTGGAAAACTGTGAAGATGAGTGTAGGGTATGGACAAATTTGAGGTAGTGTTGGAAACGAGATATATTGATGAGTACGACAACAGTGACCCAAAGAGTGAGAGGAGCATGGCTTTGATGGAGGAGAATGTGAGTGATGATGTGCGTTCGGCTCCAACCCAAGAGTGAGAGGAGCCTGGCTTTGATGGAGGAGAATGTGAGTGACGATGTGCGTTCGGCTTCAACCATGCCATTTTGTTGAGGAGATTACAAAACATGAGTTATTCTATCATAGTTTGACGTCAAAATTATTGCAGAGGTCCATCCAATATTATTTAAGATTGCTTTCATGTAGCAGATGCCGATCAAGTCATTTGGCAAAGACAATGAGGCCGGCCCCTTACACCCGAGTTTGCGTTGCCCTTCCATAAATTAGATTAACTTAGATATAGTTTAAAAAAAAAAAAAAAAAAAAAAAAAAAAAACTATCTTGATATGATATATTACTAATCAGATGTAACCTTAATGATTAATATTATATTGGGCTAGGCTCAACTTGCTGAATCTCAAACCGCCGCCATGAAGTTCGAAGGTGGCGACAAGTCAACAGCAAAGGTAGAAAGGGTCAAGGCATTCGCTAATCCACAATAGTTCTCCATCATTAATTCCATTTCTTATATACATCATTCTTATTAAGTTAAACTACACAAAAACAATCTATAAATTTAAGATTGTTGGTAAAAAAACAATCTCACAGAAAGAAATTCTCAAGATGCATTTTGAATTTTCTGCTATACAGTTTCTAACCAAAGGTAGGCTTATAATCTTATTTATTTATTGCTTTTTGAATACTAATTTCCTTTAAAAAAAAATTTAAATAGAGTTTTTTTTATTAATAATTTTAAGGGAGTTTGTGAAATATATCACCAAAAGAGGGTTTAACGTCTTCAGTCTTCTCATCCATTGTTCATATTCAAAGATGACCTTTGAAAGTTTTAATAGAACAAGCTGTCTGAATTCAACATAGTGCAGCTTCCACGTCTCTTCTCTTCACCAACCAGAAACACCTCTCTCTCTCTCTCTCCTCTCCTCTCTCTCTCTCTCTCTCTCTCTTTGGTTTTGGATGGTGGTTTTTCTTATCTCTGCAAAACCACCTCTCTTCCTCAGCTATGGAATTCCACCATAGAAAGCTCTTAATAGAATCAAGGAACTTAAACCTTTCAGAGGTCTGCCTATCATCCTGTGATTCAGAAAAAAATGTTTCTGGATTTTGTCTCTCACCATGTTTGACTTTCTGTCCTGACATCTGCCACTCTTCTATCATATCTGGATATGATGAAACAAAAAAATCCAATAATTCCTACACCTTCGTGGCTGTTGCATCATCTTTGATTGTAGCCACTTTTCTTGTTGGTTTGTATGTTTTCTATGTAAAGTACTATTCAACCAGGAGAAGATCACAACCACAACAGCAACCTTTATCAGAGGAGACCCATGATGACTATATAGATGAAGATCATGGGCCGGTGCTTGACCACCCCATCTGGTACATCAACACCATCGGTCTCCAGCAATCGATTATCAGTTCGATCACGGTATGTCAGTACAAGAGAGGTAATGGTCTTGTTGAAGGTACAGAGTGTTCTGTGTGCTTGAGTGAGTTTCAAGAAGATGAGACTTTGAGACTTTTGCCTAAATGCAATCATGCTTTTCATGTTCCTTGTATTGATACATGGCTTAGATCCCATACCAACTGCCCCATGTGTCGGGCACCGATCGTCAAACCCTTGGCAACCCCTACACCTGAACCAAATCTTGCTGTCAGTTCAATTCCAGAAGAAGAAACCCAGGTGGAGATTTTGGAAAATATTGGTGAATCTAGTGAAGAAATGGGAGAGGAAATTTGTGAGATTAGAATTGAAACAGAGGAAAACAGAGAGGTGATTGGAAAGGGGAGAGATGAAATCCCAATTGAAGAGGTCAACGGACTAGTGGAGCCAAGAAGGTCGGTTTCCATGGATTGTTTATCAGCTTCAAAGATCAGTCTGGAGCTTTCTAATCTCCCTGCAGTGGAATCTGAAAGGAATTCAAATACCAAATTGGTTGCGGTAAATAAATTAAATAGGGAAATTGTTCCCAGGAAGACTGGTGGAAATCAGAAGTTGCAAAGACAGAAGGGCAGTTCTTCAAAAGGGAGGTCTCTGCAAAATGTTCCTCTTACTATGAAGAGGTCATCTTCCTGCAATGGGAAAGTCTTGTTCTGCAGGGATGTTCAAAACAGTGACTCAGTTTCCCAATTGAGGAGCTTTTGATCTCAATTTTCTTTTTGTCATGTTTTGATCCTCTTTTCCTTGTCTGGTAAGGCATCTAAAAACCTGGGATGTCTCTGAAGTTCTGAACTCTCAGCAATCTGAGAGTGTTTTTTTTTCATTACTTTATCAGATTACATACATCAATAAATTCCTGTTTGTACTAAAGTTTATGTCAGAACTAGAAAATTGAGTGGCCCAAAGGGGGATTCACAGCTTTTAAATGTAGTATCTGAAAAGAATCAATCAATTGTAGATGAAACCCTTTTTTTCTTTTGAACGAAAGATGACGAGATTTCGTGGTCTCTAAGATAACTATCAACTTTGGATATTGGAGTCAAAAAGCTATATCGCAGCAAAGTAGAATGATCATCAATGTGTTGATTATCGTTTGTTTATATCTTTCCGTTGAATGCTTAGGTATTACTGCAGGCTGCTGCTTCCTTCAATTTTGCAGCTCAAACTAAAGTTTTCACTTGTAGATTGGTTTTGTTAGAATTCATCCCATTTCATGTTCAATAGCTTCTGAGTTCAGGTTGATGGGAAGAAGGAAAATGGTTTAAAACCCGACTATCTTTTCCTCTAGTTTAATGCATTCCTAATCTCTCTGCAGAATGAGACTACAGGGTCTAAAAAGCAGTAGCAGAAGCTCTGATAATTCCCTTTTAAATTACATAACCAGCTAATAGCATGTTTTTCGTGAAAATATTTTCAAAAGATCTCTTTGCATATTTACGTTTTAATAAGAACACATGTGCATATTAACTGATTGCCAAAAGTAATGATTTCTAAAACATTTTGTTCACCGTAAAATAGATAGCAATTGTGTATTCTTCTTCTTCTTTACTTCTCCAAGGCTGAGACTGGATAGTCAAGTTGCTGATTATTCCCTTGATAATATACATTTTCAGACAGCTTCTGCTTTTTTTGTTAGGAAAAATATGGTACCCAGCAGAAGAGATCGAACACCTTACTTGCAATTACAAGCCTGCAATAGTGCTTGCACGAACCACAAACACTACACCACGAATCTATGCTTTCGTGTTTGTTCTCAGACCCTTGAGAGAGAATTTATTTTCTGAGAAGAGTATTCCAGATGGTCTCCAACCCAAATTTTCCTCTACCAAAATACAACTATTCATGTATACAAATTTTCCGAACTTTTGTAGTTTGAAGAGACTCTTTTCGTCACAAACAACAGTCCACACAGTTTCTCGCTCTTCGAATGCCTTGTCCTTCAATCACTTGTTGTATACTCTAACCTGTTTCCCAAGTAATAGCCTGTTCAAAACATCCATTCGGGCTGAATCCAACTCCTGCAACTCTTGCATCAGATTAGCCTGTGTATATTCATCAATCACGAAAATCATGTTGTTGTGTAAGCCTCAAAGATAGAACATTAATTGCCATAGGCAGCTTGAAAGCAAACTTAAAGCTTCAAGTATAGTCTTCTTGACTTCAGTGATGTTTGTGGAGATAAGTGGAGCGAAGTGGAGTTGCTGGGGATTTTCCTTGGTCTGCAAGCTCTTTCCGAACTGGAGATTTTCCTTACTCTTATTCTAGGATGATATTCTTGGCAGCTACTAGAGGCTTATAAGTCGAGGACCCGCCATTTTTGGCATTAGTTCGCAGTCCAAAACTCTGGATTTCTGCATCAGCCTTGGTTCAGTCCAAATGTGGTCAGAATTCATGTTTTTTATTTATTAAAAGATATTCAAGATTTCCTCCTTGGCCTTGGTTCATACGGGACTGATGTACGTTGAGACAAAACTAGGTAATTCAGGAAGTTCTTGAGCTGCAGTGACTGAGAGATATGACAATATAAAATTTCCAACGTGGAGAAGTTATGGAATTCATTATTCACCATTGTTTGATTAGAAGTCAGATTCCTTACCGTGCAAGCAACAATCACATATTTATAATTTATTCAATCTTATTAAGGGTTTTTAGCGCTAAAAGTGGCACACTTGCAACTTAGAACAATATGCAGGTCTGACATCAAAGTTAAGCAAATTCAGAGTAACAATTGATTTATCAAACTCTATCGAGATAAAGTGGGGTGCTGTAAGGGTTTCATTTTGTCGAGCCCAAAACAGAATCTTTGGGCTTGACTGCATAGACTGCATAGGCCATGGCACAAGTGAGTAACATAGGATCTTGACTTTGTCCCTTTGCTATTAACCTTAGCACAAGTGAGTTTTTCTTACTTTGTTCATGAAATTTGAGTTCCGAATTTCCTGTAATAAAGTACATCCCACCCAAAAAAAAAAAAAAAAAAAAAAAAAAAAAAAAAAAAAAAAAAGAAAATAATTTTGGGTAGGGGTAGTATTACTACTTAGGCATGCAAACAAACGTCGGTCAGGTTAGTTTTCTTTTTCAAATCTCTCCCTTTGTAGATTAGATTTGGGTTTTTCACATGTAAGTCCATAAATGTGGCCCAAAATATAGAAAACCCTACAATACCCAAATCTTAGGAAAATCCCATTTGACTTTTCAAATGGACTAAATATATTAAACAAACATTGAAAAACCCTAAAAATTACACCAATACCATCATTGTTTTTTTTTTCTTCTAAGTATCATAATGCAAGGATAATAATGATATTTTACACATCATTAAAATTACAAAAAATATTACAGCTTACCCTTTTTGACAGGATCCAACCCAAATTCCACATTGGAATCCGAGCCGAACCCTATGCGTGTTCAACACCTGGCGTGTGCAGGGCACAATTGACTAATTTGCCCCTCCAAACAAAATCCAATGAAATTCAAGTGCGACTTATGCCGAAATGTCGGCAGAGTCTCCCATGTAAATTGAACATTTCCCAAAAGTTTCCACCTGTAAAACAAGCATATCTCAATTGCCAGCACACATTAAATTATATATAAGAAAAACAAGTATCATATAATTCTGGCCTCAGGCATCAACAAACTGAATAAAACATTCTGCTAATAAAACTCATCTCCACTTCCAGAATATCAATAGTACCTTGGCAATCTCAAAGACTCCAACTCGTGGCTACACTTTGAAACATCAGGCTGCCTACGTAAAATTACTGAGGGATCAAGCCACACGTAGTTCTTTCCTATACTTATATCAGTTATATACTGAATATAAATATGCCATACACTGAACTCCCTTTAGTTTAGTTTAAGAATATCTCAGAACTGAAATTCTCTCAACCTAGGTATACCTCAATTCCTAATCAGTCAATTCCATCAATGCCATCAATTCCACCCTCGCAGGCCGAGCCACAACCCTCGCAGGCCTCGGAGACACCACTACTATCCGAGCCACAATCCTCGCAGGCCTCAGAGATACCGCTTCTATCCGAGCCGCAACCTATAAATAACTATCTATTCAACCCGTAACATGACTTAGATAACTCAGTTTCGGTCAAGACTCGTTTACATGGTCCTTTTATCACTTCTCAAAGGATATAACTGCCTCGGGAGACTCACGGTCAACCAAGGGATCTAACCGCCTAAACTTGGTCTATCAAGCCCGCAGGGCCCACATCCTCCTATCACAAATCCAAGAGTCCCTAAAGGTCCCAAGAGTTTGGTCTCGATCGAACGGTCGGATTACTCACGATCGCATGATTGGATAGTTACTGTAAACCTAGCCATATGGTTGGCATTTTCGGAGTATCCGGGACTCCGATTTACGATTTGTCGACTCCTACACGGTCGGGAAGAAACCAGGGGGTTATTGCAGGGGGAGAGAGAGAGAGAGAGAGAGAGAGAGAGAGAGTTTAAAAAACAAAATCTAGTTTCCAAATTACCATTTTGTCCCTCAGTGTATTTTGATCGTATTTTCTTCGTTATAACTCCGATTCGAGCCTACTACGTGTCTACGAACTCGTTTCGTTACGCTCTACGCAACGGTGCAATCGAAAGTCCCAAATTCCTTCCTGGTCAAAAAGTCAACTTAAAACCTAATAAAATGTTCTGAGGGTACTCTAGTCATTTCCTTAAATAACATAATAATTAAGAATTAATCAGGGATCGGTTTGTTACACTTTTGGGTTTTTTTTCCCTTCAATTTATAGATTTTAGTGTTTATATATAAATTAAATGCAAGAAATGAGTTTTATTATAAATTTAGTAATTTGGACTATCGTTTATATACCCCAAAAAAAAAAAAAAAAAAAAAAAAAAAAAAAAAAAAAAAAAAAAAAAATGAGAGAAAATTAGTCACAAAGATGCTTTTGAATTTCTTGTAAATTCCACATACATTCACCCAGGTCCCTTCCACTCTTGCCCTATTATTGAAAAGAAAAATCTTGGCTCCTTAAAATTTCCTGTTTACAACAAATAGAGTTTTGGTACTTGTCAAATTCCTTGACCTTTATTTCTTTTGAATTTTTATAACTTTTTCGTCCAAAGAAAAGAAAGAATTCTTATAACTTTTTGTTTTTAGTTTGATCCAATCGTATATCTTTGGATGCTATGCCACTTTGTGAGCAATTACGTCATTTACTTATTTGGAATGAGGATACTCGTGAATTGGAAAAATCGAGAATATGTATGAGATCATGAGAATAGGTATGAGATCAACTACCCTCAATCAATCTAATTTCTGGGTTTTTCATAAATTGTGGATTACATATTGTAAATTGAGGCCCACATATTAGTAAATGGATAGGAAATCAGAATTCGAAATATTTGTAATACATATTTTAGATAAAGTAAACATGTCATTATTCTCTCACGAATCACGTCTATAGTAGGGATTTCATTCTCTATACGCATTCCATCAGTTGATTCAAACATCAAATTTCTTCTATGCAAAAGTAAACTCATCTGTCAAATCCGAACTCTATTCCAGTGTGAAACATTAATCTTGTGAAAAACAATGGTTTGACAACATTTAAGAAGCCTAAAAGAAAGAGCTTGTCATAATAGATGCAGTACTTCAACCATTTGTAGTCGGCAACTACATTTAGCTCTAACGAATAATTATCTATTTGATGATTAGTCAACAAATTAATAATATC